TGAAACGTCATGGAGTAAATAATACTGTTTCACAAACAAAATAACATGGAATTATGTATCACTGCAATGCTCAAGTCCTACTCTTAAACTACTTAAAGCAGTTTGTTTTCAGTTTCCTTTCATTATCAGAAGAAACAGAGTTAAAGTGTCCTTCGAGACAATTTACGATTTATATTCATACTCAAGTGGGTATGCAACTCTATGGTTTGGTTTTTATAGTTTGACTACCTTTCATTACTTGTTTTCATTACCAGTAGAATTTCATGCAGATCCTAGATTGATGATGAAAGATACTTGTTGCACATGACAGAGGTTTTCCTTAGATTTTTAATAGAAATTGAATCAACCATTCAGTCTCATGGCTCCAAATAGCTCCCTTATGTCTCTGAACTCATATCTACTGTAAGGAGTTCGATAAGTTAAACTGTTGTATGTGATAAGTTCCAGAGGACGCTTCAGTAGAAAGGTCTAAATGAATATCTTATCACGAACTTATCGAAAATCTTTTGTAGGGTTTCTGATTTTCATTGTTTATATAAACGCACTAGAGTTTGTAAATTCTCTGTTATTGCCACTATTATTATTACTAATCATATTATTTGTTTTAGTTGTGCTACTACTAGCGGTTTTATCCTCACAGTTTATTGCTTATTTCCAGACAAACTTATGAGTGCGAAACTGTAGTATTCCTCTTATGTATTATTTTTCGACATGCATTTCAATAGCTGCTAGTTAAACTCCTGGATTGGATGCATTCAATGAAATCCACCTGGCTGAAGGTTATCAGATGCTCTCCATTACTTTCTGGTTTATATGTACATTGAGATGCGTCAATCAATGAGGTTATCTGAGCCACAAATCTTTCGTTACACTGAGCCTTCAACATTGTAGTCATCTCTTCCACATTTATTAAATTATTAGAGCGACATTGAATGTCCTCCGTGAATAAGTTCCTGCCCCCATTCTTTCGTATATTTTGAAACTTAATAACTAGAACTAAGGGTTAACTGCAAGCAAAAAATAATTTATTCAACTGGCATTATTGTTCATAATATGAGGTACTGCCAATGTTTGCGTGCATTTCTAACTGCATTGATAGTCAGATTATTTAGTGAATTAGTGTGCAGGCTTGACTTATCAAAACTAACCATTTTTTTCAAATTTACCTTAAGACTGCCTTTAAGAGTGACTTTAAAGGCCATACTAGAAACTCATGAGACAGCCAATTACATTATTTTGTGGAAAAGTACTTTTTCATGCGAAATATCGAAGCTTGATTGGTCATTTCAGCAGTTGCTTGCTGGCCTTTAAAGATTATCCTTAAAGTCACTCTTTTTAAGCCCTTATTTGGAGTGTCTTTAAAGGCCACCTTAGCAACAACTGTAATAATCAATTAGACTTTTATTTTGGGAAAGCTGCCTTTCCAGACGAAATAAAATAGCATAATTGGTTATTTCGATCTTTGCTAGGGCGTCGTTTAAGGCCCTCCATACTATCTCATTCACTTAACCACCAATTATTTACACAGCTTGTAGGTTACATTAATTTTTAAGCCGGCTGATAGGCTAATAGGATAATGGGAATAATTCGTTTCTGGGACCATTGGTTTTAAGCCTTGGATCAACTCACCTATAAATGGTGTCCTTCGGTGTATTCTATTGGCTGTTTATTGCTGATCTTGTTCATATTATCAAGCTCTAGCTTCTTAACTTCTGTTCGGAAACGTTCATCACCTTTTTTTAAAATAACATCATGTTAGTTTGATATTACTGTTGATGTGATTTTATCTGATTTGATTACTACTATATCTTCGTCATTTATAAGGGTCTTCAGATTTCCCTTCTCTGAATTGGTTGGATGTTAAAAAAATAACAGCCACTATGGTTTTATTTTACTGAAAAAAACTGTTTGCGCTAAAGGCTTTTGGATCAATAATTTTTTCTTGCATCCTGTAGCAACAAAAAGAAACACGTGAAATTAGATGATTAATTACTATCAACATGTCTTATTTCGTGACTATTGCTGGTAGTGTTTTGAAATGAAATGAAAATTAAGGCGTTAGTAACATTTAACAGAGCAACTTTTTGTTTTGCGAAAATAATATGTTCAATGTTCAAATGTTTAGTGATTATAGCATATAACATTATGAATTATTAGATTGAGAGGAAAGAAATAGTTATTGTAAAAGAATACTACAAACACCATATTCAGGAGAATGAATAAGACTTTTTAGATATTATGGAATACTACTGTCCCTTAAATAGCTGCTGAGGAAGAATCATAGTGACAGATCACTTTTACAAAATTCTGCGTAACCCGAAAAATAGGATAGTCCTCCAAAGACATCAGTGGGGATTAAGTTTAAGAGCCAAAATAGTTTATCCTTTCTGACTGAAATGTCTATTAGAACTGTTTTAGGCGGATATTTTAATGAAAGGATAGCTACTGTCTATAATCAGAATATCAGGATGATGATCGTTAAAACAATTACTATCAAGTTGGAGGTTTATGAAGATCTATTAATTTTATAATAGTATTCATCGCCTACTGACGTGGGTAGGAGAACCACTGAGAGGGTGCTATCACTGGGCAGCTGTTTCTTCCTAGTATGGGAATTAGTGTGTTCAACAGGAGAATACTTAAAGTAAACAATTACGTCGCGACAGAAAGAAACCAATAAATTACCACGAACCTCCAAATTTAATTACTGTCTGGTACTCAGTAGTGACATTATCCGAGGGGAATTTCATAAACCTGTATTAAAAGCCATGATCTTTGGGAACAACCAATCCTGGTTTTAGAAGGAATAGTCAACAATGGCATTGGACGATGGTTGCGCTATATCACGAATTGACAGAATTAAGAAAATGTGGACCGTTGGGTTCCGAACCACTGGCCGGATAGTAAACTGCTCACTATGAGGTATGAAGGTCGAGGATGTGCACTGCCGAAGAGTACATACTGGGAAGAAACAACTATCCAGCACTCCCAAGTTTTAAATGGCCTTCTATCTGATTTCCATCTATGATGACTACCACTTTGAAACCATCAGAAAAGTTTTTCATCCTTTAACTGATTGTTTTTCCCAAAGTGTTCTTTTTCATTTGTTCAGATCCATAAGTTTGGTCTCATATTGTTCTGAACACTCTTACGTACTCTGACTGGCAATGCGTCATACTGTAACTAAATTAGGCGTAACAAACTATTTTAGCTATTTAGCCTTTAACTATTCAGTAAAAATCTCCATTTTGCCATAACCTTCCATTACCCTTACACCCTAAGGAAAGACCATCCTCTAGTGAAGTTAGTGAGTAAACGTTTTATAGCATGAGTAACTGATAGTTATGGAGTGAGACAATATCCCCAAGATTACTCAAGTAAACTTTGATTTTCCTGTAAAGCCTTTACAACCAGTCATGGCATTCTGAACATTGGTGAAAATCCACGTGGGTATGGCTGTCTCAGACTGGCTAAAAGGAATCCTAGAAACGTGCAGCACAAACCAACACCATCCGAAATGTATATCAACTATTACTTTCTAGAAATATTAGGCTTGACAACAAACTTTTCATCATTTTCGCCGCTTCTTACTGTTTTCGCTGGACCAAGTGACCTTCAAGGGTGAAGCCTAAGGTTATTGCTATACAGTCCACCTATATATATATATATATATATATATATATATATATATATATATATATATATATATATATATATATATATATATATATCATTGGTATGCAACTGTATGGAAGTATGACAAGAAGATGAACAGGGTATATAATCGTTGGAAAATAGGGGCGTTTTTGTACAAACAATCAAAATGGATGACGTGTCATATTTGTTTATGTGAGGTATTTCATTTTGAAAACTTTTGAACGAGGTACTGTTTCCAATTACATGATAAAAATATAGATCATATTTATCACGAATGCTGTAAAAGAAATCAAAAGCATAGTCTGATTCCTCCGTACAAACTATAGCTTCTACTGAGGAAACTATCCATAATAATAATAACAATAATAATGATAGGCTTATTTAAAACAACTTGTGTGACAATATAGAATTTTCAGCATGAAACAGTTCAACGAATTCACCTTCTTCGCAATACCATTAAGCAAAATAATCATTGCATTTGAATGTTAATAATAACAGTAATAAAAGCCATAATGTGAAACAGGTACTTAGTACTGGATTTGTGAATGAATAGAAAATCGAGTGTAATTTTGGTGATGGTAGTTGATCCAGCCAATACCAAAGTCTGGAATTTGACATTTTTATATTTATTTTTATTATTATTAATCACTTGGGTTCCTAATTGAACATAAGGCTTCAGTAGCACGTCTCCAGTGAACTCTGTTCTCTGAAATCTTTTGAACCTGGCTCCGCGACTGCCCACAAGCTCTCATTTCCTCCTCGCACGATCTCCTCCATGTCACCCTCGGACGTCCAACTCGTCGCTTCCCATGGGGGTTCCACTCGACGGCCTGGCCTGACGCGTGATGTCCCCAGCCGGCCTTCTCAGTGTATTATATTATATTTATAAGCTCATCTCTTACCCGCGTACTATTTGTTTGTTTTGTTATTAGCTGAAAAAAATGGCAGTTTGAAACTACTTTAAAAGTGTACGAGAGTACATGAAGCGTTTAAAAGTCATATTTAAACGATTAAAACAAAATGAAAGGAAAGAATTTGATGAAATCTATTCGATGGAAAATTTTCGGTAACCTAAAGTTTAAGCAGGTCCCCTGAAATAGATCTGATTTTGATTTTCTACACATGTTGAGATTATATTAAAACTTGGCGTAATAAAGTCCTGATCCACTCAATTCGATCCACAATCATGATGAACATTATGCTTAGATATTTTTGTTTCTCATGAAATGCAAGGGAATAGGTGATTTTGTGTCATCAAATAACAAACAAGTAAGGCGTAGGAACCTACGGTTATAAGGTAAACGCCATCTAACTCTTTTCTGCTTTTATTACTGCCATCTTAGGAAAACACAGTGGACATAGTCATGAAAATTGTGTCAGCCCTGAAACTACTGGTCCGGTTCATCTAAGTTACCTGGATAATCTGAATCATCTTTACCCACAAGTAACTGGTGCTAGTCAGAGTGAAAAGATTGAAAAACAGAACAAAGTGACAAACTCAAGTATAAATCGTCGAGCAAGTTCGCTAAGCTATAGATCATCAGACTTAACTGAACCTGAACTTACTAGTTCCACCTCTAATAAACCAAATACTAAATCGAAGAACAGTCATCATTTCGCATTTTCAAATTGTAAAAAACCATATGGGATAAGTAATTCAGTCAGTTCTCATGAGATAGCAAATACATGCACAGTATCATTAGAACACAACAGTAACCACAAAAGTATTCATTCCGAATTTTCGAATAATCACTTGAATAAGATTTCCATGTTCAAACCGGAGACGAGTGCATATTCACCAACAGGTTATTCATGGATTCCACAAGAAAAGTTTGGCATAAGACCTCAATTCTTAGGATTATATCAATCAAATCCTATGCTAAATGACCAAAGAAATGTGCTTACAAATGCTAACCAAATTCACGCTTTACACCATTCATCAAGTTTAAGTCCAGATGTCACTAATACAGAAGACACTTCAACAAACAAGCTGTATTCTAAAAAAAGACATGGAACAGTTACTAATAAGAAAAATATCAGTGTGCCAACGAGCTTTGTTTGCTCCAGAACACCAGCTAATAATGATTACAACAGTAGTATGAAAGGTGAGAGTTTTAAAGCTCCTATGTCCAAAGGATATGCATATAATCATAAGAGATTTGGATCCAGGGTTGCAAGCAGAGAAAATATACAAGAACCGAGCCCTATGAAAGCGTCAAATGGCAGATCTTCGCACACCTGCGATTATAATTCAATGTCAAATTCACGTGAATCTAATAAGTATGGAATATCATCCGTTAAGAACAAAGAAAGGGTTCACTTTCAGTCAGATACCCCAAATCAGACTTCTCAAACGCAATCCGTTTCCATAACGTCCACAAGGTGTTTGCAAGGTGAAGAAGGGAAAAGTAAGTTTGTTGAGACTGAACCAAATCATACACCACAAGCCGATGATTCTTATTCAGAAAAAAATGAAACATATGAAACCGTAAAGAAGAACATTCATATGATGCAACATTTCACGAAGGTAAATACTTTACAGAATCCAATCTATCCAAGTATTATTTCACATAAGAATGAAAATTTAAATATTAGTGCTTCTCTTCTTAATTCTGCAAATAAAACACACCTAATAAAGCAGCAAACGCTTGCTCACTAAGTAATACACGAAACACCACTGTGCAAAAGTCACACCAACTAAGAAATACAGATGAAGTGACCGGTTCTTTTGATCAACATGTTAATCATGAAAATGTTAGTTTCAGTGAGTCAATTGCAGGAAATCAGCCACAGAGTGTTCATTCTCAGGTGATACAGAAACAAAAGACACAACAGAGACATACTTTGCCTAATTCTAATTCTGCAACGTCTAGCCTATCGGCTGGAGACGACAGAGCGTTTTGTGATAGTGGAATATCATCTTCATCCTATTCTAAAGACAGTGCCTGCACATCCCCCTCAGATCCATCTACTTGTAATTTAGTACCCACAACTTGTGTCACAGATTGGGTATTCAACCGAACACCTTGTAATAAAAGACCACTCCATGATCAAAGTCCTCATCAAGAACTAAATCAAGAATCGTTGTCAAAAATTCCAAGTTTTTCAAAACAATCGGATACATCTAAAAATTATAATTCTACAAGAATAGTTGATTCTGAACCAAGTTTTAGTATAACACAGAGACCTCAGAGGCCTAGAACAATTGGTAAATTAATTAGTCAGACAGGTAATGGAGTGATATCCCTTATTCCACAAACTTGTGAACAAGACCTACAAGTTCCACAGAAAGCTATACACGATTCATATATACCTACTGTTTCTTTTGCAAAGGCTAATCTTGAAGTCATTTCACCGAATAAAGTGCTTCAGTCATTCAGACATTCAGATGAGCATTCTGCTAATACTCCCGATTCTCCACTTGTACCAACCAATACAATGGTAGCAAAACGTCCAAATAAAATACTCGTCGACCCAAATAAGAGTAAAGTTAAGGGAGCTGAAACAGAAGTAACTAGTACAACTAACATGTTCAGTACCAACACCTCTTCCAGCATTAATAACACTGATACTTCCCGATATAATGAAAATTCAAGCAATTTGAACAATTTACGATCAAGAGTTCATCTGATGTCAGAACCTCCTAAGCTTATTGAAAGACTTGGTCATATACAATGTGATCAGCGGAACCAAACACCTGTCGGTAATACACTTAATAACCGTCGACAACAGAACCATCATCAACAGCATCAACATGTGGCAGGTCAGGCAATAGATCAGAGATTCAAAAACAAATCAAATCATTTATCATTTGATTCAGAATGCGAAAACGGTAGAGTCAAGCGCGATAGTGGGAAATCAACTATACTTAATAATGAACAGTCAATGAAGATAAGATTTACTCAATTTACACAACATCCTGACAATAGTGAATCAGACAAGTGAGTTAAAATAAACGCCTACTAAATCATTTATGTTATGTCATGAAAATTATAAAAATAGAAATATTTTTCACAGTAGGATTACTTTAGGAAGATGAATAGCTTTAAAGATGCTATGAGATTATTCATTTGAAGTAATAATGATTCTCCTTCAGATCAAACTAAGTACAGTCTCAATAAGTTTCTTGTATATTCTTCAAAACACTGAGCTTATTACGCAGAGTGCCTTTCATTCGTTCAACCACAAAGGTATTCACTTCTTACCAAAATATCTCACATCTGTCTAAGAGTCAATGCTCAATATATATTCTGAAAATTGATTTCTGGAGGAAGTAATTTCGATACCAATATGAGTAAAACTTGCACGCTGGGGTAGAATGCAACCCTATTTCAACCGATATATTAGATTTATCATACAGTGAAACAGTAATACTTTCTGGACTACATTTCAGACAAAGTTTGACCCAAATTTGACACATGCTTTATTTAGTCCTAATTCTCTTTCATTTTCTGTGATGTAGGTAGTGGAATATTCCACATAGCTTGAGTGGATGGAGAGTTAGTCTTGCTGCACGAATTCTGTATCTACTCGGTAAACACAGATTTGGTTACCAGTCTCTCCCTCCGCCGCAGTGAGTTAGTTTTACGGTTTATCACTCCCATCGTTCCAATTGGCAAAATAATTCAGTTTACCGAATCCCTTATAATGATTACAAGGTCGAATACTCAGTTTAAAAAATGCCAAAATGTCATTCGGGCAGTCCGAGTCAAAAACTTAGCTAAATCAAAAGTAGTGGACCCGAATAAAATAGGGGGGTTGGAGAAAAGCTTGGCTACAGCTACATATGTCATCACACACAACACCACAGGATTATGGGACAGAGTAACAGTCTCTGGCACTATTTCGCTGGCGTGGAGGAAGAGATTGGTAACTGAATCTGTGTTTACCGAATCGATACTGAGTTCGTGCAGCAGGATTGGCTTTCCACCTGTTCAAGATATGTGGAGTATTCCATTACCTACATCACAGAAAATGAATGGGAAACCACGTGTCAAATACGCTGTTACCTTGATATGACTGTAGATGGTAAATTGTGTCCGAAACGTAATCCAGAAAGTAATAATGTTCCACCGTGTGATAAATTTAATACATCAGCATCAAGTTTCACACTGATAAGCAGGTCTTTTTGATTTTCACATTGTTCTATACATCAGTATGTGATGATATGATATGATATGATAATTTAACTACGAAACAAAATTTCTGTGAGGGCTGAGAATACGCATTTGCAAGAAAAAAGGTTGAAAACAAGAATTGAGACTCAGGCAAGATGTGAAATATTTTTTCAGTGCTATTAGAAGGTCGGGATCTCAGTTGGATAAGAATCCACAAGGAATAAATTCAGTGTACAAATGATAAAAATATGGCCATAACCATGCTTTTAAAATGTTTGAATTATTTTTTGTTAAGAAATATACTACTACCAAGTAGTAAAATTTGCCTACAGGAGTTTACAGCGCTAGTAATAATAACTCAGATAAGGCAACTGCAAATTATTAAAGTTTCCATTGTTAAGTCTTCCAGAGATTATTATCTCAAATATAGCCCAAAGAAGCTGAATGTTACGATCTCCAACTGCAGTACTGAGTGACGTACATTAGACTATATCGAGTTATCTCAGTTGCCTTGGAGATTTAAGATATACCTTGATGACTAATCCCAACAAGTATGAAATTTAAATAAAGTAGTTTGTACTGACGAATGCCTCGAATCTTTACCAGAGGCCAGATAAGTTTTAATCAGCTCTGCACAACCTGGATCCTTAATACTCCAAGTTGTTTGAATGGTTTGATTTATAAGGTAGAATTTAGCAACAAGTAGGTATGTCTTTCAAGAAAACTGTCTTCAAAAACTGACAAAGTAACGACAACAAATTTAACAGAATACGAGAAATTCATTGCATTCCCACTCATTTTATATAAATGCATATCTAATTCAAAAGTTATGAGATATTTACAAAGAAGTGCAGTCTATATAACTTCATTGTCGACCGGAAGATAGTCTATTGATGAAAGATAATAAAAAAAGCAGAAACAGATCGGGAAAGTTCGGATAAAACTAACTGTAATAACTATTTGTTGACATACTTGTAATTCTCAGTTGTTATCCTGGGTCGAATTGTTCTACCTGTGTTCGCATACGGGCTCCAATATGGATGCCTCGATATTGCCTGAATATCTATTATGATAACTTACTTGGTTGTGGCTAGCAGAAGAATTCAAGATGCAAGTTTCGTCCAACTTGGGACTTGTCAGCTGGATGTAACTGTACCCCAGTGAGACTCGAACCTCGTAGAACAATTCCTTCCAGTATAAGAACGGATCAGTACAAGTATGTCAACAAACAGTTATAAATAATACCCGTTGCGAAAGAGGTGGCTATCGTACCTCAGTGACCTAGTGGACAATGCTTTGGCTTTTGAAGTGTTGGGTACGAGGTTCGAGTCTCAGTGGTAAAAACATCACTGAATGAGGTGTTGGTAAATCCAGCTGACGAGTCCCAAACTGGATGGAACTCGCGCCTTGAATTCCTTTGCTAGCCGCAATGAAGTACGTTACCATAAAAACTGACTGTTATTACTAAAATCAAGATGACATAATGTTTGTGTGGTTACATCGTCACTTTTTTACATGTGATAAATCAAAAAACAGAATAGGGAAGATTATGCAAGTGTATGTGACAGGTTATTCATATGAATACAAGATTGAAAATCGAACATTGGTTAGGTCCAAGTCGGTCTAGATTAGATGGTAAATTTTTGGATAGGAAATAGAAGCTGATTCTGATAGAGTACTGAAATACGAAAATATGTAAAATTTTGTAAGGGTTTCTACTGAAAAACAAAACATACAAATGGCTACCATGGGAGTTAGATAAGAAAGTTCATTTTACTTCTTCTGTGCATCTTAAGAAATCAGCATTTAATTTTGTGGTTTGTATGGGTTAAGTTATTTTTCAAGTTGGTATTCATCATAGACTGACTTCGGTTGGAGAAACATTGATGTCAGTCCACGATAAATACCAACTTGAAAAATTAGCATTTATTTTTGTTTGTTGGTTATTTTAAATGTACTCGAGATTTTGACGTCGATTCCCGCGTCCACAAGTTGTTAGGTGCTGGAAAGTTTAGGTCAGTTTGACTTCTTTATGTTTAAATTACCTGGAATATCCTCCCGAAATTGAGTCATTGTCCGCCCGCTGTGCGTACTTACGCATGTAAAAGTTAATTGATAAATAAAATTTAGGGTGACAAAAGTCAGAAAGCTGTCTACTTTCGATTGTTGTGATGAACACTTTGTTTTCCATATGGAGACTAATTTAGCTACTGGGAAAATGCAGCTCTTATTCGTCTGCAAACCTCGTTCAACAGTTCTTGCCAGTCAGGTGGAGAAAAAGGCTTTCTTTTTAGGATTATGGAGTTTGTTTGTTTCCGCTGTTCTCATTTTGACTTTATGTATGAATCTATGAGATAACCATTTTATTACAGGTATCTGTTGATGAACTGATTATCCTTGTGCTATCTTGACATACAAAGAGGCCCAAGACTGATTCTTTTTACTTTTAGATAACTATGAACCCAAGAACATGAAATTTGCATTGGAATAACAAGGTAGAAACCATACATTCGATGAACCTTGCCGATACAACGACATTCATGAACTGGGTGGTTAGGGCATAATGAACGAGAAACATAACATGGAATGACGACGTACTAGATGACATAAGTGCTTGACTGTAAGCCTTCAGCTCAACAAGTTCGCATTAATGTCGAGTATCCTTGAACCATGGGGGATCGCTACCTCCTAAGGGGTTCACGAGGACCTTATGACGATGCCGGAAGGAAGCAGAAACCTAAAGGCCTCGACACTAGCAAAGGTCTTCCGGTGATCTCATTGTATGAAGTGGCCACTGGTTGTTCGGATTTATTATACGGTATAGCTGCAAATGATAATTCAACTAATAGAATGGTAGGTTGACTTCGACCCATGCATTTTACTGACTTTCAACTGAGTGCTGGTTGTACCTAGAACAAAAATGGAAACTTTTAGTACAGCGAAACAACTCCACTAAAACGAAAATGGCATAACATGTAGGCTGCATGCTTATATATATATATATATATATATATATATATATATATATATATCATAGTTAATATATTTTGCTTCCTTTCATACACTTGAATTCACATATTTCAAGCAAAGCTACTCTAGCTCACCAACAGCTGTCCGGCAGTGTCATTTCGGAAGTATCGAATAGTGTTGAGAAAATACCTACAACCAGTAATCCCATCGATTTCAGAAAAATTAGCGAAAACTTGGAGAACCCCTTCCTATGGAAGAGCTTATCTGGTCAGGTTACTGAGAATCCTTACGATAAACCTCCTGATATAACAAGTGACCCTGACATACTGCTGTCATCTCTGTCAAAACTAAGCTGTGATCCATGTTTGGAAGATAACTCTTGGGATCAGAATTATTTCTCAGATGTTGAAAGTGAATATGCTGCATTGGAACTAATACTACCGACCACAAAGCGTGAAAGCTTAACTGAAGCAGAAATCGCCCTGGAATTAGATAGGAAACTGTCAGAAAACACAGCATGCAGTAAGCCAAACCAGGTGTCAAATGGTTTACAAACTGCACAAACCCGAGTCCTTCTTTGGTTGAAAATCTCCCGTACCCAGGAAGCTCTTTAGAACCAGGCTACTTCTCAGATACGGAAGCCATATTTTCATCTCAGCGGAAGCTCAGACCGTTGCCTGGTCCTACCACTTTCAGTACCCATACAGACAACAACTGCAAGCTTCCATCGCTTCCGTAACCCCAATAATGTCTCCAAAACCACCAGTTTCTAACAGTACGGTAAGCAGTGATCAAAACAGCTTACTTACGACACAAAGTCCAACCGTGATAGACCAGAGACTTCCGTGTTATACATGGTATCCTCAAAGAAGCAGGGGTATTTCACAAAACCAAGAGACAAGATGGCCAAGACTGTGCAGCCTGCAGAATCTTGTTAATGATTCAAAGAAAGACAAACTGAGACATTGCATTAATCGACAAGATGAAATGAACAAAGCTCAAATTTCTGTTTCCAACTTTAATGTAGGCACAGGGCCGCTTAGTCAAGTTAAACTGCCTTATCCAACTATCTCTTTGACAGCCAATATGGGTTCTTTAGAAGATATAACAGTTAAATCTGGTATCTCAAGTTTTGCTGTGCGCAGAAGAGGAACTTTTGCTACAGTTTTCAACTCAGACCACTACAAAATGAAAATGAGATTATTAACAGGAGAAATAAATGGTAAGTTGCATGAAATCTGCTTTTTCATACTGAAATATAACTATTTAAAAATTCAGATTTCATGCGGTATACTGGTGTTTTTTCAGCACTTCTAAGTAATTATTTCCGTGTCAAAAACGCTGAATGAATGGTCTAGATAGTGAAAATCGTAGTTTAAGCGTAAACTAACCACATTTACGTGTAATAGTTGATATAAACAATTCATCTTTATTGATTTATTCGAATCATTGACTGATCGAATAAACGATATGATTCCTCAAACTAAGGGCCATTAATACAAATCCTTATACATTTTTGATGAAACAGATGAAAACTTCTGACAAATGTATGCAAATTAAGACGAAAATGGATGCGGAATAAGCTGAGTTGAATTTAGGGGAACGAACTACGTCATTGTTGTAAGTCATTCTGTTTATGGTCTCTGAATTTATTTTAGAGTAAAGCCCTCAATGCCTACATTTTCATATGCTTGCGTAGACAATGTTAATCACTCTAGCGGTTTAAGATGAGGCTACATATGCAATAAGGGAGGACACCTTGAAAATGCTACAACAGAAGAATACAATAGTATCAAGCAAAAGCAGTCTCAACGTTTTGCTGAAAAGTAACCGAGGATAAATTCGACTAATATGAACTATTATTATGAAAGCTAATATGAAAAAGCCAGTGGTTTAAATGCGTGTTATCACAGATGAAGGTTGTATTCCATAAATAAGTTGTTTTTTTATACTATGATAAAATACAAACTAGACATTGTTGATTTAACCGTAATACAGGTAATTCATCATCCTAACCTTTGGTTCAATTCTCTGAGATATCACAGTTTGTTCCAAGAAAGTGTTCAGCTGTTTGATTCATCGCAGAAGTGCTTGTAGGCCCTAAAAACTAGTCATGGTAAATCTAGAGCATTATTATTATTATTTGTCCCTTGGGTTCTTAGTGGGACATACAGCTTCAGTAGGACGTCTCCATTCCACTCTGTTCTCTGCAACCTTTTGAGCCTGGCTCCACGACTGCCCATAAGCTCTCATTTCTTCCTCACACGATCTCATGCATGCCACCCTCGGACGCCCAACTCGTCGCTTCCCATCTGGGTTCCACTCGAGTGCCTGCCACGTGATGTCCCCAAATCGTCTTCTCAGTGCATGCTCAATCCATCTCCACTTCCTTCTGTATATTTGTTGAGCGATAGGTTCTTGGTTGGTTGATTCATTGTCAGAGTTCCTTGTTGCTTATTCTTATTATTCTGACCATCTGAGCTTCAGTAAAGAGTGAAGACAGTTGTTGATGAATATCTGTACTTTGTTGGAAGTGTTCTTCGTAACGCGCTAAGTCTCTGAACCCTATAGAAACATTGATTAGACTTTAACGTTGAAAATCCAAATCTAGAGTAGTCACCAAAAATTTAGCAGGCATCCTAGTTTAAACCAGTGTTTTCAGATATTATCTACTACATTTATTCCAGATTTAATATTTGTGGTAAATTCCGATTACAAGTGAAGCGTTTCAAGACTCGATGAAAAGTAAATGCTTGTCTGTAAAATAAAAATGCTTTCACAGTCTACTCGTAGGGTTGGCAGTACATGTGGATCCAGACAGCTAAATATACCTCCTTCAGTAGCTATTCTTTTCGCCTCGTGTTAAGAATTCATCATTAAATATGATGGTTACTGTAATCTACACATTTAGGTTAAGTTAGTTCAAACTGAAGTTTCAAACCAGGGATTAGATTTCTGAATTACTTGTCTTCTGCCGCAACTATATCTGTATTCCACAATAAAAACATACTTTATCTAGACTACGTGTACTAGCAGCTAATCAGTGTGTCTGACCATTTCCAGGTTGGCTTTACCAATTCAAATGTTTGGGCTGAAAGTAAGTGATAGGAAAACAATTATTCTGAAAAATTCTGTGATTACTAGCATTGATACCACATTACTTTAAGGTATAAACTATACTACTTACTATGTTAACAGTAGCCAACGTCTACCTTGAACATTATTAATTCAGTGACACACGAGCAATGAGCCGTATCACATGCAAGTCATCATAAGTAGCATTTATCTTTATGAATATATGATTAAAAAACTAGTCCACATTTTTGTCTCCTTCCTAATACATTCGTTTGATCACTTTTTTCAGGTATGATATCAGTCATAAATCCGTCAACTAGTAAAAGTTCCAATTTACTGGTAGGTATTCATTTTATGATCAAAATACATTTTGAAATGCTTCGAACACTTTTTAACTTATATCACAGGTTACTTTGATTATAAGTGATTCACTGACAAATGGCAAAAAGGCTGAGCACCTTAAAGCTTACAGAAATTGCTTCTGAACAATCTCTAGTCTTATTTGTATAATACAAAGATAATTTATACTCAACTAAACTTTTTCTGTTCACATATTTAGTCATCGCGAAAACGAGGTACAGTTCAAGAAAACACATTTAACTTACCGCCACATTGTTATGACAAAGATAAACTTGAATGAAGAAATTCCAACGGGATGATAACTAAACATGGCAAATTACTGGATGCTCCGTTTCATGACAGTTGTTTAACTAAAATATTTGAGTTGCACTTAGAAGGATAGGAACTACTAATTTCCGCTGTGTATCGATTACGTCAGGGACGAATTCGCATAACAAAGAAAGAAAGTCATGTGTCAAAAACGACAGTCTATTAAGTTTTTCTCTATCATGGTATGGCAGAAATTATCTCGGATTATTGCTAACAGCTTTTTGGGTTTCAGAAGTTAAATAGGAATATTAGAAGAGATACAAACAGTACATTGGAAAATGGATTCTGAAATTTACACAAAATTTGTTGGTTTGTTGGAAAAAATAAATTATTTGATAAGGTATTATTTCTAATCACCTAAATGTGTTATTTTAGAGATTACCATTTTCCAGTCGAAAAGTGATCATTACTCATTGCTTTAGTGATAGACTTCATACCAAAATGCTAATGAACGCAGAGCTTATATAAAAATATGCTGTATTAAATGTTTTTAAAAATACATAAATCGAGGACTTTTTGCGGTATTCATATCCCATATACTAAACACCCAGTGTCACAATTAATTAGACAGTATTCCACTAACAATGTTCTGTGCACTCAGAACTATTCATTGTTTTCGGACGTTAATAAGTCAGCAATAAGTCAGCAATCTTTGGACCGCTATGTTAGTAAGAATTCAGTAGAATGCACGAAACGAAAGCGTTATCAATAATAACCTATGAAAGAATGGTAAGCCCATTAAAAAACTAGGAACACGAAGGATCGTTGATAAGAAAAGTCCCGAAAAAATTAATGTATTTTGTCAATTAGCTAAATTTGTGTGAAAAGCTTGAGACAACTTGTGATTCAAAATAACAGACACAAATTTGATCACGTGTTTCAAAGTTTGGCCTAAATACCATTCAGTCCTAAAAAAGTGACTGAATTTCAGCGATAATAATCACCACTTTATTCTGGATAGTATGCTTGATACAGCATGGAACTCAGTATGTAATATCCCAGTGAATCTACCTCTTCTGCAATATTTTGAAATAAAATAGCTATAGTATCAGCTGTTGGTAAGTTGTCACCTAGTCTGTGGGTACATTGTTGTAAAAAGAGGGGATGAGTAGAAAGAGTGCGTAAGGTTGGTTACGGAGGTACATTCAGCCAGGATAGAAATCTGCAGATCAAGCTAACTATTCCAGAAGTGACATATTACCATACACTTTGAGGCCCCTTGCCATCCATTGTGATGTTTTTTAAAAATTTTGCTGATAACTTGCAAAACGGTAGGTGGTAAACAGTTTAAAAATGCGCGACAGTACACTATGCGATTTGAAGGCATATTTGAATGATTAGAAGGAATTCAAAATCAGCTATTTAATGCAATCTACTTTGCGGTAAATTTGTGGTAGACTGAAATCGATGCAGACAATAATCAGTCTGAGGTATGAAGATTTCAAGTTCATTTGTGTATATGGTTGAGAGTACGCATTACTGTGGAATTTCAGAAAGGTAAAAAGCAGTTTCTCAGTACTTCCTGGTGTAATCATAATTAACCATTTAATTCTAGTCCGTGAAGAGAAAAATGTTGACGAGTAATGAAATTCCTATTGTAAGCAATCTAAAATAGTTGATCAAAGTATGGAATATCAAGTCAACTTATTGAATAGCAGACGACAGAAGTAAAGCGAAGTGTTCTCATTGAGTGAGTAAAGGCTTCCACACTTGTATACATTTTCATACTGTGGTCTTTTTTTACACTACCCATCAATTTTATAAATGTGTAACAAGCTTCTATTCTCCGTTATAAGCTGAATAATATCATCTCATGATATTTTGTAGCATAAACAAAACGTCTGGGTAAATATAATATGCATCTACCCAAAAGAATTGACATTTATATTTCTTATGTTATACAAATGTCTATAGTGATAAAAGTGTAAGGAAGGAAACATTTTCTTACTACTAAGATTCTCAGTTTATTCATCTCTATATTCATCATTCTTACACATTTGAATTCAGTGGTGTTACATGCACATAAGTTAATTTCATCTTTAAGATGTTCTGTAATTGATGTTCAAGACAGAGAGTATGCAAACTGGAGTCTGATAATTTCATTGCTTCATCAATATTAGTTGTATACTTCCCTTGCCAGAAAAAGTATCCTTGTGCATGTATGTGTATGTGTATATATGCATAGGTGGTGATATAACTGATGTTCATACAGAAACATCATGTGAATCATATCAAAATAAATAAGACAATAGTATAGTTAGCCGAGTGTACATTTCACCTAAAAAGTGAATTAAAAAATGTAGCTAAATTTACCACCAATTTGTATGGTTTTATAACAGTAAAAATTTGTTGCGAGTGAGTGGTGGTGCATCATATCATAAAGTAAAATTGCTCGACTTTTCATGCTCTTAGATTTCAAGTAGATAAAAACTTAGAATATACACTATAGAGCTTTTAATAAGAATTTTCCCTAAGTCTGTTTGTGCGGATAATAACTCAACAGCGACTTCATGATTAAAGCTTAGTTTCCAAAGTAAGGTTCATGCCAACAAGAAATAATCACTCAGCTCCAGATAGGAAAGGATGTAATCAAAACAATGGAGCTCAAACAGAAGTGTATAGATAGTATTTCCTTCAAGTATTCCTATTGTTTTTGAATAAACAGCACCAGGCATTGACCTGTGACCAATAATATATGGGATCATAGTGCTGATACGTAAATATTATTACTAAAAGGTAAGATATCCATCTTATTCATTTGCATATAATTGAGAAACAGTAAGTATTGGTTAGATTTTGGCAGTAAACCCAAAACGACTAAACGATGGATGTATATGCTCAGGTGAGCTTTTTGGGGAATACACAAAATTCAGAATAGTTTTCACCACGTCATGAAATCAACTGAAGGAACAATGAAACCTTGGGAGCGTTGGACAACTATTTCGTCTTGTTTAAGGCTGTAAAACAGTGCAGAATCATGATTCAGGAATACTTAGTACCTTGAAGTCAAGAAACCCCCCTGACCACATATCTGAATAACATTTCGGTATCCAACTTTCAACTTCATCTTAGGTGAATCTCTCAAAGTTATGATAAAAAATGCTGAGCTGTACGGCTAAAAAGTCAGAAGTAAGGCAGAAGCACATCGATGAAATTGAATAACGGTTGTGCAGTACATCACTAATTGACAGAAGTGTAAAGGATAGATCGGAAGATTCCGAATCACCGGCTAGATGTTAAGGTGAGCACTGCTAGACTTGATGGTCTTCGGTCCGGTACCTTGTCAGATCAGGAGTGCGCACTGCTGAGGAGTTACAAACAGCTTTTCAATGCTCTCAAATTTCCAGTGTTTCCCCAAGTGATTTCATGTCATGATGAAAATATTTTGAAATCAGTGTGTCTGCAAAAATAGCCTTGCACAAGCTACTGTACAACATAACATTCAGCAAGAGATTTCAGTAAGGATCTTCGAAAACTTCGGGTAAAATTCAGATGAGTAGCCACAAGTTTATCGAATAGTAGTATACTGATTTCACCGAGAAATTTCTCTAGTAACCATTTTCTCACATAATGTAAATGATTATCTGAGTGATATCTTCATTATTCAGCTCACACTTGTCTTCTATATTATGCGCGCCAACTAAATGGTGAGGCCAGGTCCAAGTAAGTTGAACAGGAACAGAAAGAAAATAACTATTGAAACACGTTCGTCAAGCCCTATGGAAAACCTTATTCACCCTTTCGTACAATCTACTTTTTTTGTCTGTTTAGTGTTAAAAGCTCTAAAAACGACCAATAAAGCAATTTTCAGTTAGATGTCATCGAATCGAACACACCATATCAACTGATTTTGCATATGATCAGTACAACGTCTCACTAATTGATCATAAAAGTCAGTTATTATAGTGCTATAGCGATACAGTTTCAGTACTGATTGGAAGATGAATCTGTCTACCTTTATGTTTGTGTCTACTGGCATATCCTGACAAGAACTCAACGAAGACGCACGATTACTGATCAAATATCTTCATGTATTGTTCAATTAAAGGCTTCTAAGATTTTGTTGTTTTTCTAGAGAACATGCATCAGTAATAACAAAGCTTTATCATGTTAAATTCTGTTTGCAGATTGAGAACTTTCGTCAAGAGACGAAACGTCTCCGTGATGGTCTTTCTGTATTATCAGCACAGTTATCTCTGAAGGTAAGTTATGTGGTATCTCTATTGTATGTTAAAATGAAGTTACGCTTATTCAAAAGAAAGCCAGATTCATAACACGATATGAACCAATAACCTTTGAGGAGCAAAATCTCAACACCTGACTGACTGAAGTATAAAAATAAACTGTTGTCCCAATTTCAACCTTAATTAAGCCACCTAAGTTCCACCTAGATATCAAGACGTGTAACTCTGTTTCGCATCGTATCAGTCAGGTAGATTTCGGCATCAAAGTTCAAATCAAGTTAAACTGAGTACAGATACTTACTGACTGATAGCTAATTAAACTAAATAAGAGAAACTTTACTGAAATATTGGTTCTCGTATTACTATTTTCCATGAACTTTGTCATTTTTCGGTTTATCTTAAAAATGTCACTCAACTTACCAACGCTCTCTCAGACAACTTAACAGATGATTCGTTTTAAACTGGTTATAGATGGTCGTTTATTTATCTATATATATATATATATATATATATATATATATATATATATATATATAGTGGATTTAAATTTTGTTAGTAAAGGCACTCAGTTCATTTGACTGCTCAAATCTGACAATGAAACCTTTTTCGGAAAGCTCCTTACACCACGACAAGATGAGAAATCATTGAGGATTGTGCATTGTGGTGAAAAAAACATATGATCTATATTTGAAGGTGAACAACTAAACTATATTTAATCAAAGCCTTTCCGTAATACACATCGAAAAAGTAGTAGTTACTGATCTATTCCGTATCTGTACGTACAAATGAACAGAGCATACACCTTATTTTTGGCATGACTAGACCACTCAGACGAGGCTTTCTTTTATAACAAGAAATAAAGTAACCAACAAAGGTTGATAAAATAGATGTACAAGGGGGAAAGCATTTTCACCCTGCTGAGCCTAAGATAGTCAAACATTATTTAAAAAATACCGTTACCTATCAGAAAGTTTTCATTCAAATTAAAATGAAACAATGTGGAATGGCATTGTGTATTCCTTGGCAGTTGGAATCAAAGATTAGCAATCAGACATATGTGGAAACAAACAAGTCTAAAATACTTCTTCACAGGGATATGTGTTATAGCATAATTCATCATATTTCTCAGAACTAGCTTAGTTCAAAACGCAACTATGTGTTCATTATGCCTATTGGAATAATCAACATCTTTTGCAGTTATCTGGAGCAGTCACATAGTTTGCTCTATATTTTTTCTCCTACTGTAAGGACTTACGCTGAAAGTGTTCTAGATAATAAAAACACTATACAGCTATTTCAATGAAAGAAATACACAGAATTTTGAGTAGCTTGCTTCTAGTTATCAACAAGACAGCTGATTCACTGGCATTAGTTTTGCTCAGAGAGAAAAAATGTCATTCATATAATAAATTCTGTATGCTCATAAAGCTTATCTTCATGTTCTGAGTGCTTTACATCGCCTTTCAGACTCTGGTTGTCTTCTTACATTTTAATAAGTGACCCTGAATAATTGACTAGATGTTATTAATTTTCAACGTGTTTTGTTGTTGTCACCCGGGACACTTGATGCAAGTCCTAACGCTAATCTTTTCAAACGTGATCATTTGCATCACCTCCTACTAATAGTTGTAATTTAGGATTCCCAAACGGATGAATTATAACGGGAAGCAGCATTAGCATTGCAGTTTTATGAACCACCTGAACAGCTGAGAGCAGGTTAGTGTACAGCCGAAGACAGATAACATTCTTTCAAGTTCTCACTTTGCTTCATAGCAAAGAGGAGGACAAAAGGTCAGATGAAGGTAACTGAATACAACATATTTCGAGTTTCCCATCATAAATGAGATATGTATTTCGTTTATTCCAATGTGTTACCTAATAGGATTTCCCCCTTTGGAACTCTTTTAGGTATACATCTTATAACCTAGCTCGATTCATATTCCATTTTCTTAACACCTTGTGAAGAAAGAAACTAGTCATTGCAAACACTATCGCAACCATGGATTAGATTCTGAAACGATCATGTCACCTTTTAAAAAAATGACTTCATATTATGTAGCAAAAAAACATCGTTAGTGGCATTTGTTATGAATCGTGGAATAGTATGAAAATCAGTTAGCTGTTCACTGAGACTGTGTACGATACACTTCTTGCGTGAAGTGACAAACTTATTAATGGGAGATTCATACATATGTTTTAGAATTACTAGTTTGACTGGTTAACCGAGTGACTGACTGAATGGTTGACTAGCTGGCCGATATAAAGTTATGAATATGCATCAAGTGATAGGATCTTATAATTTTGCACATAACTTTGCACTTTATGAAAAATAGAAAGAATAAACACAAATCTATAAAAAAAGATTGCCTGACCAAATAACCAGACTGTTTACTGATTGGATAATTTAGGGTGGCAGGGGGGAAAACATTATATACGTCTGCAATGAATTAAGTGTGAATGGTCACACCAGCGTATACATGAATGAACACGTGTGCATATACACATTTTGTGTCGCATTTAGGTAGATAGCGGTCAAGACAAATGTTACATTATTCATTTATTTTTAAAGTGGATTCTACCATGTAATTTCTTGTGCTGTATTACATATTAATTAAGTTATATGGGTGAAAATTATCTGAACAATGGAAAGATTTTATCCAAATTTTTATTCGTACACAAAGTCTCACTATGAACCTTTGGTTTCCAGTCTACTGACAAGATCTGAATCAGAGCGTAGTAGCAAACTTCACAATAATGATAGTAACGATAAGTTAAATGAAACGAAACAGTTTAGTTGGTGTAATGAAAGGCAACATTTTTATATGGATGAGAATAATGAACAGCAGAATTCTGTAGCATCACCTAATATTTCTCGTCAAAGACTGCAAAGCATGGATAGAGTAAAGATATCTCGTAGCCAACCAGGCGACTGGATCAACGCAGATTCCCAAAGGTGGATGCGGGAGAATTCAGATCCACCAAGACGGGAAAAATCACCTGATGGGGAAATACTGAGTAACTGTGACTCAATTGGATCTGTGCAATCATTTATATTGCCATATACTAGAATCAATGAATACTTAACACCAGGAACTAAAGTTAAACAACCTAGTCATCATAAAAATGCTGAAAATGGTATCAACTGTCTGGGCTCAGTTTCACATAATAATATTCGGAATCATCAGCAATATCCTGATCTTATGTCAACTTCTTTCATAAAAACGGCTTCATCGGCTAAACATAAATCAAGATCTTTACGTAAACATTCACGTGAGGAAACAATACCCTGTTCAAACCATGATCACAAGACATTATTGACAACAGATAGAAATGTTATATTTATGAATCCCATTGAAGCGAAACCACATTATACACCAGATCAGAACATAGTATGTCGTTCTAGGAGATTGCCATCACCATGCGTTCGCATGAAGTCCACACTAGAAACCGAAGCCAATAGTAATTTACTGCCTGGAATTGTTCACAATACAAGCGCATCCAATTATGATCTTCGGCCGAAAAGATTAATAGAGACAGAACGTATGGTTAGACAAGAACTGGCGTCTGCAAAACACAAGTCATCAACATTCAATAATAATAGTACAGTTAGAGACAATATAAAATCAGTAAAACAAAATTCACCAAGATCGCTGAAAAAATCATGTTCCAACGAGAAAAAACAGACAGTTCTGGCAGTCACGGATTCACAGGGAAGTGATACGCAAGACAGTAATTCAGTGGAATTGAAGGATAGTGAGCTAAACTCATTACCTAGAGAATTTGATAAAACTGTAGTTTTCTCTGCAGGGGTAAATTATGATGATACAGATGACATTAACAGTAATGTGAAGGTAACTAAGTAGGATCCTATTTTTGTTAATAGATGACTATATTCTACTTTATATAGCTTTTCCTTGTTGAAGTGTATGTAACTATGTATTACATGTTCTTTATGAAGCACGCTATATTAAGTATAGTGACAAACCCATATTCCTATACTTTTGAAAAGGTTTGTTAGAGTAGTGAGATGGTAAAGCTTAATCTTCTTTGATTATAACGACGCTGCCTAAGTTTGAAGTAATCGTTTAATAAACCTAAGTGGCAGTTGAGATTTACACATTTTGTCTCACGTATGCTTTCATTGCAATTTGCCGAGTAAGCACGTTTAGTGATGATGAATATATTGCATAACATTCAAATTTTTGTAGTCAGTGGCAACAGAATTTCTCCTGATAATAAATATATTTCTAGTAGTTTGCTAAAATTATTTCCACCCGCATTTATATCAAGAAAACCACATCATAATGTATACTAGGATAGACAGAATCCTAGAAACCAGAAAATAACGTTGATATGAGTTGGATGGAGGCAGTCGGCCGGATGCCCTGGACCTAGATTTTGTGCTTGTTTGTACTCGTCAGCAAGGCGTACCTGCAACTTCGACTGAACTGATGTCCCACCTGGTGATATCCGAACTTGCATCACCCACTCCGGCAGTCAGAGACATTACTGCTGAGCTACTCGGGCCGCTGTTGACCTCCTGGGGAACTGGATTAGGTGCACTGATTGATCACTGGAGGGAGCCAACTTCATGTTGTCTAGTTCTAAGTACCAATCGGATTCTATCGATTACTTTACAATATATATCACCAAACTAGGTGAATCAGCATCGCGATACACTTTGATAGATGTTAGTTGGATGGAGGCAGTGACCAGGAACCCCTGAACCAAGGTTTCGCGCTTTCTGGCGTTCGTTAGTAGGGCGTATCCGCAAACCTGACGGAACTGATGTCCTGCCTGAAATTTGAAAGACATGATATCGCGTTTTCCTTACCATGGAGCAGGCATTTTAAAATTTATTAATCCCCGTACATTATTCAGACATGTACTTTTTACCTATTCAGATATTTGGAAGTGATTCATTCGAAACCTTAAATCTTGTTAGCACTCATCAATAAGTTATATTTACAGTTAGAAAGTATTTGGTGCTTTTTCATCTACTGAAACAGATTCACTTAATATAGCGAGCGTATGGTAAACATGACTGGTATTATTGAGCTAGTATTCATGGAAAAACACAATACTGGCTATTGGACTGTGAACCACTAAAGCAGCTTTCACATAAATTGTTATCCCTATTAAATGTTGATAATGTTTTATTCATCTTCTGTAGGATAATGCAATAGAAGCTCTAGAAGATAACGTGGAAAATATGACAGTCAGAATTGAACAACTGCAAGCTCTGGATAACTTAAAGGTATGCTTCACAGAGTTAGAATTCCACTTTTCTGGTCCCACTTGTTAAGTATTGTGAAAGTTTCCAAACAGGAAGAGGAGAATGAGGAATGCTACTGATAGCACACAACAAATTGAGTTTTAAATCTAATGACTTCGTTCTTACTGACTCAAAAGTAAAGATTGCTTCGAGGGTCAAACAGAGTTCCCTTTACGTAACAAGTAAGTAAGATATATCTTGAGGGCCAGTTGGAACAACACTCATTGAAGTACATGTACATTCAGCCGACGAATCTCAAATAGGACGAAACGGGCAATTTGAATTCTTCTGCTAACCACAACCCTGTAAATTATCATAACAAATATTCAGATATTATCAGAGCATCCGCATAGGAGCCCATATACCGATAGAGGTCGTGCAAATCGATCCAGTATAACAACGGAGGATTACAAATGGTGATTTAAGGAGTTTATTAAACATTATTTTGTTGGCGATCATAGTTAGTGTCATTTCTCAAATATGTCTGTTACATAGTATTCAACTACTGAAAGTAATGAACAGAATGACCTAGGTTAGCGTTTTTTTTCATCTGTTGTCATTCATCAGAAAAGAGGATCACCAAAGTTTGCAAAGTCCCAAGTTCTGTATGAAGTTAGTAATTTCATGTTTTGCCACTTTATTGATATGAATAACTGCTGAAGTCGAACCTTCTAACAGAAGGTTGACAGTATCCTCTTGAATATAAGTATCGGAAGGTTTCGAAGACTCTGTAAATACTTGGTGCTTAAATCGAGATCAAATTGCGTCCAAAATTGTAGATCAATAACAGATGGAAAGAGGGAATGATTTCACGGAAGCTTTTTGTTTATTGCAAATGGTCACTCTCAAGCAGTGGCATTAAAGAGATCTTCCGTATTCTGTTCGTCTGTTTTCCCTTCCTTATTTGAGAGTTAACTTACTTCAAAATGTTGATTATTAACATTTTGTTACCTTTTTGAAATAAAAATCCACTTTGAATGAGGTCAGAAGGATAAAATGGTCTTAATTGTTTACTGACTGTAATATTTAATTCAGTGCTCTTATTGTAGAATATCACTAAATAAGGTATAACTATTATGCTAATATGAAAATGAAAATTGACTATTCATGTATGAGATATTAGCCATTTAAAATAACAGTTTAATGTGCAATTGATTGGAAACAAAATGTTGCTCAATCTTAGCGAAAACTATTTCTATTAGCTTGTTAATAGCCATAGATATACATGTAGTAAAAAAATATTTGAATTCTTTGAAGGGCAAGTTTCATATTAGTTATTACTGTTTACACCTTTACGCATATACATTTATGACATAAGCACATTGGTATATGATTGTTAATCGCTAACCATTAAAATTAATTTTTGAAAATGTATCTGTTCTTCAATTGTGTATATTTTTTCTCAGAGTTCAGAGATACGTGAGCTTCAGAGTATCATTAGTCGACTACGGGGTGAGGATATGAACAGTAAATCTTTAACCAGCTCTCCAAGTCATTTTCAACCACGACCACCCCGATCAACATCATGTCGTACACTTCCTGATGCAATATATCAAGGTGAATTTGCTATATTTAAGCATCTTGACATACCGATTATTGCTTTTATTGTTTAACTGTTCCTGAATAAACTCTATAGACACTATTCATATGCCCTAAATATCCATAATTATTCCTGTTGCTCATCAAAACACATGCATTCGCTCATAATTAGTATAGAAAATACAAATTTAGCCTATGATTTATTTTTTTGTTTGGAGACTGGTCTGAAAATTAACGAATAATAATTTTTTGATATTTTACTTACTTGGTGGCGGCTAGTAGTGGAATTCAGGTAGCATCTTTCATCCTATATTGAACTCTTCAGCTAGATATTTCTGTATACGAGTTATTGACAGATGAAGCACATATCCTGGATCCATAAGTCAGCTCCTATCAGGCAAATAAAATAAAGATGAAGCTTAAGACACTATCAAGGCTTGTATTCAAGGAACCAATGTACCAACACAAACCAGTTGACTCAGTTTGGTAAAATAATCATCAGAAAACAACAAGTATCAGCAAATGATTTCTTCATTAGGGACTGGTTTCTGTCTCATTTTTTTCACAGAGGTTACTGAGTTCAGCAACTTGACATTTAGATATCTTATGTATGTATATTACCTGTTGACAGGTATCGAGTGCATAAATATTTCGGACTGATATCCTTTCAACTTTTCCCATAGTTGAAATGCAAACCTGGTGCAGCGTCTCATTGAGTCATTGAGAATATGTGCATTAAGTTCACAGATAAAAGAATCTTAAGCAGTTATAAGACATTGCATTAGAACTTCATATCAATGGATCATTATCTGTTGTCATTCTGTTATCGTGAGTCATTTTGTAAGGATAGTGATATCGACTTTTAAAGTTTGCTAAGATTGCTAATTCTATCAATACTAGCCAGGAGATGAACATTCTGATAAATATTGATTTAAGTGAAGGATGTGGTGTGATTAAGTTAAACAAAATTTACATCACTTATGGACTGGGGCTCGAGAACTGTCAAAAACGAAGGTGTATCTTTTTGGCTTGGTAGTGAACTGCAGTTCTTCATCTCCTGTCTATAAGAAATGGAATACACAGTCTTAAGGCTGCCTCCAGGGCACGTCAGCATTCTGTAATTCAGTTATATTTCAAGTTGGTATCCATCCTCGGCTGACATCAGCTGGAGGAACAATGGAAATCTGGAGTACTGGACAGATGTTTCTTCCTAGTATGGGACTCAGCAGTGCGTATCTGCGACCCCACCTGGTGTCGAACCCATGACCTTCAGGTTCCGTGGTCCCATACTAGGACGAAATAGCTGTCTAGTGCTCCCAGGTTTCCGTTTTTCCTCCAACTGATGTCAGTCTACGATTAATACCAACTTGAAATATCTATAAACTCCCACGACCCCCTAAATTCAAATGTTATAACTTAAGTGTCTACTTGGGTTCGTAAGTGACAAAGTAGTGTCTATATTGACCGATAAGAAGTGGTCAGAGAAAAAATAAGGTAAATTTTGTCAGTAAGATACAACAGGAAGATGGATCAGAAATAATTACCTTTCTTTCTTGTTCCGTGAAAACAACCTAGATAAAAACTTATGAACAGTGTATAGCAATTTGACCTCCATGTGAAGCTACAACGAAGGTAATGTTTAGACTGATCTCATAATCTCAAATAAACAATAACTGAAACTGAAAGATAAACAAAATAGTTAAAATGGTCACAAATGGACGGTAATATATCAGTGATTATATCCAACCCAAGATGCACAGGATCGGCTCAAAACCAAACACATGCGAATCGTTGATTCATCCAGAAGTTGTTAAATATCAGAGGCATAAATAAACCTCAAAATCATCTCATTTAATTGATGGATTAGGATTCGTATTTAAATGTAACTTTTACAAAAATATGAAGAGATAATTCAAAGAAGAAAATTTTCTTTTTTGAGGATATCATATCATTTTCTAAAGCTGTACAATCGTATTTATATATATCAAAAACTTATAAGTCTGTTATTAAACAATTGCATCACTAGCCTAGTGCTAAAAAACCAGAATCAAGAATCGAAAGTATTTGCGTAATAATCTTCTAGACAGTGGGAATAACGAGGAAGGTGATGAGTTTGACAAAGTGAAAATTGTTGGTAGATGAAAAATGCGAATATTTTATACGTCATACATATTATATTATTTTACAAAAATGAAGTACTCCCAGAAAATAAGTGGCGGGGTACCTGTACCAGTGCAAGACAATTGTTGTGCGTGTATTTATTAGGTAGAACCACAGCTTGTTATGATGTACATTTTATTGCATATTCGATGGAAGGCTTCTTGATAGATTTAAAGGTTTTGAAAGTAGGCAGTCAAAAACGTGTATTTTTACAAGTTAACTATCGATATGTTAACTAATAATTTAATATCCTCACATCCACAGATATCACGTAATCCTAAAATCAGAGGGCTGAAAATCTATTTTGCAACCTCTGACTTAACGGTACTTATTGAAGTGGTGCACATAATCCTTACACCTAAAGCAGCATCCTTTTTGCTGATGTAAGAGGGTAATTCTTTTACTTTAATGTTTTCGATTTACTTTTTCCATTCATATTATGAAGATATTCAGGACGCTATAAGTTTGAGTAGCTTCACAAGTGGTACGAGTGCTGGAAGTCAAGATCCATCAGTACACTTTCAACAACAACAGCAACAGAAACAGCAACAGAGAAAAATAATTTTAAAGACAGAGGGTAAATGTTCTAGTCGAACGGGTAGTAGTCCCACAGCATCCGACACAGAAAGGTCGAATGGTAAACATTCACGCTGGGTGAGTTAATACATTTGTTCTGTCCCTTATCTTGTGATTTTAAATTGTATGGTTGTCTCTTTCAATTTAGTGTATAGGCGACGCAGCCTTATTAGTCTAAGACGTGGGTAAGATTCAGGATCATCTAGACACTTTTGCTTCCAAATAATGCTGCAAAGCTGATGAGTATCAGTTTCGTTTTAAAAGTAAGTATCAGGTTGACTGAGTGTGCTGACAAACACTTCTGCTAACAGTCCCATCAATTATAGTGACATAGTTATTGACGAAATCTTTGAACACTTACAATAATAACTATTTTACTATTTTTAAAATTAAGCTTCCTTCATCATGGATGGGATTTCCACCTGCCTATTCAAGAAAACGTCTGCCGCATAAGAGTTCACCGTGTCCAAATATATAGATAAAAAAATCAGCACTAAAGGCTAAAAGCATAAAAAGGTTACACGTATTGGATCACAAACGCTTTCCATGTTTTATCAGTGTAGGGTAGAACCCTCAAACAAAGGAATGTAAAACTATAGATTTAAGTAAGAAAAGGCACTTCAGTCGATCTGGTTTTGATTCTGAAATGACTAAGATGATGAAAAACTCCCGTAGTTGTATTTGCATAAAAAGGAGTTTGAAAATCCTGTGTAGCGATATTCAGCAACAGTATGCCTATCTAGGAAATCGATGTCGGTTTTGGCTACATAAGAGAATGCAGAAGTGTTGGCTGTGGTTCTTGAGATGCTAGTAACCAAAGGTCGAAGGATTAACTCGCCGTCACATAATATCAGTCAACCTGGCACAGTTATGTGCACCTTTCTCTACCTGTAAATTTTGAAGAGACAGCTATTCTTCATTTAATTTAAGCTCCTCCTTCTTCAGTAGATTATACATATATCTTTTTGTTACGTCCCTAAAGAATGCAGGTATGTGTACAAGTCCACTTCCATGGGACCTTCTGTGTTTTTACTCTTGAATGGATATCTACTTAAGGTGAATTTTCATGATGACCTTCCTACCACACAACCTAAATAAATAAGATAATAGTCATCAAAACAAATTTTAAAATGCTTCATGAGAAGAGGCTTAAGAAACCTGTTCATGTTTTGAAGATTAGAAAAACGTTCCGAATTATAGCTTAGAAAAGACAAGATCGTGAAGTTCAATCAAACAATAGGTAAGTGGTACAATGTTATTTGGTTGAAGGCAGTCTTCAGGAAGCCGTGAAAATAAGTCTCATGCTTCTGGAAATTCGTCAGCAAAGTATATCTGCAACCTTGGTGGAACAAGTTCCTCTGAGGAACAGAAACTCGCTTCCTCTAGAGCTGAAAAGCTTTATCATTCATTTAGTAAGGTAGTTATCATTCTAGGAGACACAGCATTACGATTTACTTCGTCTGATCCTGTATAAAGCAAAGCGATGAATATTGCTAAATGTTTGAGACGGGGCTAAATATAAATATAAACAGTTACATGGTCATGAGGGAAAAAATATCTGAACGAAACAAGTGGTTGTGATAAGTTACTGCAATAGTACCAAATCCGGCGATAGTGAAAAGAAAGGTCATGCAACTACGGATGTAAATGAGCACAAAGTAAGAGTATTGGATTGTTGAAAAATCACTAGTTACCAGGGTAGCAATAAACTAGTCCATGTAATGGCAACAGCTTTAGTAATCTAGATTATATATGAAGCCCTTATTCGTCCATTGCCATCAAGGATTTCTGTGTCAACCTAGTATACTACATCAGGCAGATGATGTGCTATCAAAGCAGTGAGCGAAAAAAGACCTATGTACATGTTCAACAATCCTACCGAAAGTTGTCCTTTCTTTCTTCTTTCTAACGTACATGCATATGAACTGTTAAATGAAGCTGGAGTTAACGGGAGACTCAAACTGATGTAAACTGTATGATTGAACACGATGATTGAAACAGCTGGATAAGTTGTAGATAATGCACATCTGATGCATTTGTTTATTGTCTATGGAGCTGATACTCATTGGTTCAGGGAAATGATTCCCAACTAATGCGACAATAGTTCGAATGCGCTCCAATTACTGTGGTTTGGGCAACCAAATCGTATCATTAGCCCTCGTACAATAGGTGTGGCTCACTGCTTACAGGATGAATGTTAACAAGGTTGCTGAGTGAATTCTGATTTCGATTCTTTGTTTATTATCCCTATAATATCGTCGTCTTTGAATTCTACTCTGAAGATTAACTTTTTCCTATTGTTGTATTCCTCTATCTCCTTCTCACCTTTATGATACTTATGCACAGGTCTCATTGGATACCCGTTGTTACTAAGAGGTCGTTCAACCAGCTTAAGTTTTGCTTCAGGTGTTTGTTTAGAAGATAGCCTTTCTAATCTTTGATTTGACGTTCTCAAATTATGCCTCTTGTAGATTACCGGACAAAAGCTGTTAAAGTTGAGGTAATGACCATTCTAAGTAGTCTTTTCTACTCTGCCATCCTCCTTTAGTTTCACACGTACGTAGTGAAACTTTACCCATACTTAACTTGAGGTTTTAATGTGAATTTATTAATACAAGAGAACTTAGACATATGTTGCAAATACGGGGCCATCTCGCACCTTGATGTTCCATGTCGCCTAAAGTAGGAGCGGGTAATAAAATAACTCACGGAGTGAGGATCTTAGAGAAGATAGGAATTACCCCTTTTGAAACTTTTTGTGATATGCTGCAAAATCAGTCACAATGATGCAGATTTGTGTTGGTCTTCGTAGTCTTGAATATTTCATCAACCTTCATCTGTACTTTTTCTCATATAAATTCCCTACTTTGGTGCTATTCCGTTTTACCCTCTTCTTCGTTGCTGTAAAGTGTAGCGACTTGATTTTATCTGTTTCATTCTACTTTCATATAAATAGTTAGATGAACCTTAGAAATCTGTGCAGAAAGAGATGAAATCTTTTCTTGTCTCATTCTTGTTAGACCATTTCTTCATTTTCTCATTGTTCGATATTCGATCCATCTACTTTCCAGTTTTTCAATACGATCATTATGCTTTGTGTGGTACGATAACTGTCGCCTCTATTCCACTAGACTTTCTTTTTAACTGAATTTCATGACAAACTCTAAGATCACAAATTTCAGCAGTACTCTTCAGTCGGGTACTCTACATACTAGATTATATATACCGTTAAACAATGGAAAAGAATATACATACTTATATATATACATATATAACGTAGACTGAGATAGATTTGGGTGTAATAACATAGAAGTGAACAGTTTTTACGGGTCAAATGGTAATCCAGAGGATAGAAATGGATATTCAAAATTTAATGGGTTGGGGATAGGTTAACTGAAAAAATATATGAGTTAGTTGAGTTTGGATAATAGTGGATTTCAGGTAGGAAAATAATTATCATAAAAATAATAATTATGATTTAACTATCTAAGATAGCCGTAGTTTGGAAGACTAGTATTTGTACTGGGTGATGATTGAAGGTGAGATGAATAATAATGATAACATTGGTAATAGGAATAAGGTTAATTAGACGGAGTAAATCAGGGAAGGAAAACAAATATGTGATGAGTGACAATTGATAGTGAAGAGTGAAATAAGAAAGATTAAATATGATTAGACAATGTTCTAATTCCTACTATGCCAGGTTCAGCTGACTACCATTTCCTTCTGAGTGCAGAGGTTTGGTTTGACAACTCGAATTGCGCAGGCTTCCGGATATCCAAGCAACTTCTTATTTTGCTGTCTACTGATAACCGTAAATGACTTATAGGTATCAGTATCATGTTCATAGTCCATTAGGTGTTTAACAGGTGTTATATATGTATGTTCTTTTCCATTGTTTAACAGAATATATAATAAAGTATTTAGAGCATCCAGCTAACGAATACTACTGCAATTTATGGGCTCATTAAATGCTGCTTTTTTCACATTCGTTGCTTGTTTTAAATTTGTATCAGAAGCAAATGTTTTCAAACTCTGAGATCTTAGCTTCCATTATTTTTAGTTTACTGAGAATTGAAATCTTTTGTTCATTGTGTATATTCTGTGGACCAGAATCTTGACTTTCAAGCATAAAACTAGATCAAATAAATAGGTAACAGTGGTGGCTATTTTTACTTTCAAAGATAGCAGTAAAGCTCACAGAAAGGAACATTTCTAGTTTCCAAAGCTTTGATCATAATCTTTGTCAACATATGTACAAAGTGTTTTCTTTAACACGAACGTTTTGAACAGTCTTTATAATTTTCATTACCACTGACCGACAGTTAACTGATGACAAAATGTTTGTTTAAATTTGCTTGTTGTCACTCAGCGAAATAGCCTTATTTATTAAATAAGGGATGAAAACTACATAACTTATATCTCAATGTTAAGAAATTGCGCCGAAAATCCTATGGACAATAAACTATATTTGAAGTGTCCTTCCGTAAAGAAAATTGGTTCGTTATATTATAATCCAGTTAATGAACTGAAATGGAATTGTTTCTCTAATTTTATAGAGTTTTGCATTTTTACTTGGTCAAATAAGATATTTATATACACCTACTTGAATGATTACTGATGATTTCAAGATGGAAGAGTTTGCATTCAGTATTCTTACTTTTCTCACTTTTGAATTCAACCTGTAGCTACGAACATCATTCAGCAAAGCATTCAGAAAACGGACGAAAAGTAACATACATACGAATGATCAGATGACAATAAACGATAGTACTATCACAAAGTAAGTTATTTTACTGTAATTTCGCGCATTGTTTATCATGAACTTTCACTTGTACTAAAATCTTTGAGAGCCAAGATTTTCCTGTTATGCCACCACCCAGTACAACTCCAAACAAGATTATATGCATTTTAAAAACCCGATGCGTTTACAAAGCCATTTACTAGTGTTCTAACTACTAAGTTGACAGAGTCATTGTTAGATCTAATGCTTTAGATAAGAATGACGGAAATCGTACATCATGCGGGATAGGTGTTGAGCATTTAACATACTAAGAAAAAACTTTGTTCTTTCAGCTTCAAGGAGAAACTGAATAAGAAAATCCTCACTGAGACTATGTTACGATGATCTCCGCTCATCAAGGCATCTATTATGAGTGTAAGACATGTAGAAAAAAGCTAAGTAACGTTTCTGGAGTAACAGAAAAAGGTCATACAAATCTCAAACAGCCGTACATACAAGATGGAAATGCCCAACTGCTTTGTTTCGAGACAAATATTGATTTAAAGTGAAGTACTTTCCTCCTGATTTTGCACGATGCCTTGTTAAAACGTAGTAAAAATGAAAAATATTTTGAAACAGCCCTGAATGAATAGGTAAATTCAGCCATTCTGTGAAACTAGTTGAAAGAGACATTTGAAATCTTCATTCACCTCCCGAAAAAAAAAGAAAACCACCAAGGTGAAAGCTGATCAATGAAATAGAATCTGTATTACACATAGAAGATTTTAACATGAAACTGAGTGACCATTCTAGTTTTAAAAAATCAGTTGTGTGGACTTCAAAAAGTGGAGTAATCCCAATAGGTAGTAGTTTATCATGTTAATACTGTTTAAATTTGAACTGCTTTACCAGACAGCTGCAGTAATTATGAAATCTTCATCTAAAATATCATTGAAAACTCATCTCTTCCTAATTTACTATCACAATAAGTTATTCATTTAGTCGTTTACTTGGTGATCTTGTTATAATTCATTGTTTCCCTTTTAAAAATGTCTGCATTCCGATTTTAGCTTACAACCTAATTTACAAGATCAAATCAGTATGAATAGTCAGAAGTCAGGGTATGAACAAGAGTTGGAAAGACTGCACTTAACAGTTAGTCAGATGCGTTGGCAGATGGATTTACTTGAAGCGAGAAATAAAAAACTGCAGGAAATCATATTAAAACATAATCCTGATGAATTTGCTCACAAAGAATTATGCCTAGAAAGCACAGAAAGAAAAGTCACCTTATTTGGTATGTTTCAGAGTGGTAATACGTTTGGTGTCATGTTTCATTTGACAGTGATTTTATAAGTCCAAAAGAATTCTGTGAAATTTTACCTTTAGTACCTACTGGAAAATGGTTCATTCGCTTAGATAGGCCCTAGCTATTTCAATATGATAACTTGAGCCTCACAACAAACACAAATAAACTTTGATTCATATTCTAGTGAAAAAAATTATGCCAGGGGACAGAATTATATTTCTGGTCAAGAACTTTGGAACATACAGCTGGATTCCAAGCAAATAAAGATGCTGTCTTGGAAATTTAAGGTCGCCCTCTTCTTTTAACATAAAGAGTGGAAATCATCTTGCAGTAATTCCGAAAAATCGCATAGTTGTACCAAAATAGTAGAATACCAATCTTTATTTTGAAAATACATGCGTAGGACTTCTATTCGCTAGAAAAACATCATCGTTGTGAGTTATTCCAGACTTTTCTTTTTTCTTTCCACCTAGAACTAACAGTGTACCTCAACCAGATTATTTCCAGTCATTCCTTATTCTGTAGTTGAGAGTCAACATAATAGTTCAACCTGGTCACTAAACGTATCTGTTTATTGTGAACACGTTTTCCCTTCCTTTCTGTTAGGTGAAAAAGTGATAAACACTAGATTCGTATTATAGACTTCAAGATTCAAACTTGACTTCAGCATGCTGCAATGAATTATCAATGAAATATATTTGTAAAATCCCAAATAAGGTAGAAGAATAAATTTCTGACGTTGCTAGACGTCCCAGAAACCGCTTCTTTAGAAAATCAAACCTATATATGTTATCGAATGTTGAACGTTGTCTATACATGACAATAATGTTATTTTTGAGATGAATGGGGATTTTTAATTTAGAAGTAGTATTCATCATGGACTGACATCAGTTGGGGAACCATTGAAAATCTGGGAGCACTGGACAGAGTATTGCTGAGGAGTCCCATACTAGCACGAAACAGCTGTCCAGTGCTCCTAGATTTTCAGTGGTTCCCCAACTGATGTCAGTCCATGATGAATACTACTTCTAAATAATGTTATTATTATTATTATTATCATTTATTAGTCTTTGAGGTCAAGGTGAACCTGTATGGTGTATGGACATGTGAATGGGTGAGAAAATTTCGTTTCTGTGCTTGTACGTACTTTTAAATATGACTAGTGAGTGTGACATGTAATTACGGATATACTGTTCAAGTTGATTAGATAGTTAAGTATTCCCTTCTGTTGAGTGCTGTGTGTGACTTTCATGTTCTTTAGCATTTATGAGGATCTCACACGATGACATCCCAATATAATTAGCATCCTAATCGACATAATCTAATCTGCGGACACCATTATGTGTGGAGGTGAAAGGAATTTCATCTTTTAAGCGGACTGAAGCACTCCTGAAAGTGTTGGTTGCTTTGTAGAAGGCTCTAATTTGGTGTTTTCTTAAAATCCTTGATAGTTCTTCATTTGTATCCTAGTGGAATAGTAGAACTACTTTGGTAATCCAGGAACCATAGTTTGACTTTCCTCTTGGATCCTTCTGTTCATACTCTAGAATCTTTTGAACAACTTGTTTAGGGTAGTTATTCGAATACAATAATGTGTTCCGTTTCTTACTTCCGTTTACCCTTTATCATCATTCGTGAGGAGCTTAGTAGCTCTTCTGAATAACTTCCAAGCAAGTGAAAGTTTAGCACTGAGTGAATGTGCAGAGTTGAAATCAAGATATTGATCTGAATGTGTTTGTTTACGATAAACATATAAACACAGACTTTAATTTCCATTCCTTTTAACTGAACATTTTGATGTTCACATGTAAATCTAATATGTGGAGAATGAGTGTTAACTAGTTTAGAAAAAGTTCTCTTGCTCTAAATCCTCGGCTGTATCAAATTAACCTGTCGGTACCTTTTACTCACTAAACAATTTTATTCTAAGTAATATCGAAATTCAATTAACGTCAGTGACTGAAACTCCATACAGAAGCATACATTACACAAACTAGATACCTTTCGGGTCAACTGAAATACATATAAAGACATCTCTCTATGCGATGTCTGAATACGATACCGAAATAAGTAAAGTTACCAAATTGTAGTGTGTTTAACTCTAGCTAAGTAGGTCACAGATTGTTCTGAGATATATCATAACCCGCAGGATTAACTCGTATGAATATCCATCGGAACTTTGAAACATTCAGATATACATAGTGTTAACAATATTTGAGAAAACGAGTGAATAAATGCGCTTGGTTCTATATACCACTTAAAACTAGTCGTACTCATGGTTGTTCTCAACTAAAACACAGAATATTAATTGAAAACAGAAACTGAACAATTACCACTTTATAAGTGACCACAGGGTAATCGGTAGATGAAAATGGAATGAGTTCATTATTTGGTTACTGCATATCAGCAGCCCGGGTGCAGATTATATTTTTAAACGATGAGTGATTTGGATTCGACACAGGCTCCGTTGAACTCACCAGTTGTTTACTGAAACCAATTTATATACAAAGTACAAATTTTGCTCCGAATTACTGAGCGTCACTCAATATATCAAACTAACTCTTTTTCATACGTAATTATTATATCACATAAACCACTTCATATTAGGCCAGTCTGTAGTGTAAATGAGAAATTCAGTGTAGATTTTAGAAAAAATTGTTTCTCTTAAGCAAGTCCTCCTAGATATAACATATATACTGGTTACAGATAAACAAAGAGATAAAACAGTAGACGGTGTTTTTTACAAAATATATCCGTGCACGTCACCATGCTTATCAAGGAAATAGCGGTACTTGACAGAAAAAGGAATGATTAAAACTACAAATGGGCTACAAAGGATTAAACAAATGTAGGATGAGGAGATAGTGAAATATAATGGAGAAGAAGGTGATTGGAAAATCTTCAGTGTCATTAATTTTCACTCATTTTATGCGGCATGTCTGAGACAGTGGATTCTGACATCTCTAAGTCCCATCCTCGTAAGCCAATCCGTTCCCACATAGCTAACATAACCAATAAGAATAGATGATTCGTGCACATTTTGTCGTCTGACCCAGTGCACTGACCAGCATAACACGCTGTCCCACAAAATGCCTGCTAAAGATAACCATTAAGGCAGAGGATTTGTGAAATTAATAGTCACTTGGTCGCTGTTTTCTTTATGGTACCAGTTAGGTCAATTTAAACCAATTTATAAGCAAACAATAGTTAGGCTAGGAGTTCTAAGTAAACGAAGTAAGTTAATTTATGTGGTCATAAACATTTATAAGTTTCAATCGCCAGATACATATTGCGGATGCTGTGTACTAGACAACCTGTATATAGGTTGGAGTGCTAGTATGATAGAAGATCTGAATGACTACACCAGTTTAAAGCACCTCCTTAAAATTCTCACTGATATTCTTAGCACTTTTAGGAAGTGTCGGCTTGCTAGCTTCGACTAACACTGCATCCAAAACTGCTGTTTAAAAGCTTTTGTTAACACGAGTTACGATCAAACTGCCATTCCAAATATGTTTGTTCCTTTACAGTCCCTTCAGTGATTTCAGTACTACAGCTAACTCTATTGTTTTGATTTTCTGAATTTCGTCCCTTTGGTTTGTGTTTTTTATACCCTTATTTGAACCGAAAGCATTCATACGAAATCTGATCCTACTAATGCTCTCCTGCTACGAGATATCCATCCTTTTCATATCTCCCAATCTGATAGTACTCCATCTGGTATTACATGAGAATATCGACTGTAACTCGAAATATAACTCACACATCTCAGTTACCTCAGTTGGTGTGGCTTACGAAGAGCATGGAAGCGTTTATCAAGGATTGGAATCAAGTGTAAAACCAACAGGACCAGTCGAATAGCTGATTTATTGTCATCTTCGTGTCATTATTAGTACGCAAACATATTCCTATCGGGTTTGATTACGGACTAGCCGTTTTCCTATAAAGTATTTAATCACTCAGCTGGTATCCAAAAACGTAATATCCAGCTTTTTTTTTGGCTCTTGATGGTATATTCTGTATGCCATGAGTTGACCAGAGGTAGAAGTATGAATTAACATATCTCGATTCAGTGACTAAGTGAATTTGACTTGATTCCTGATAAAATAGGAAGTATGTACTACTGAAAAAATGTAGACTTTGTAGCTGCCATGACTTCTTCAGGTGATGCCAGCCTATGATCAAAGCTGCCTTTAAATTATTCCATTCCTCTCAAAAACACTTAGTCACAGACATACCTATTAACCTATATTCTTTTCTTAAAATTACAAATAAGCTGCATACTATCAATGCCGAGTTCCAATTAAAAATCATCATTGTGTTGGGTGCATGAACGACTCTCTACTATTGTTATTCCCACTTTATTCACCTTTATCTTAGGAATAAGAACGATTGCTACTGTGCTATTTGTTTTCTAACCTTGAATAACATTCAGATATCTTACTTTCATCACAGTTGTTTGGAATCGGTGAATAGTCAAGCTTATTCTATCCAGAAGGACTGAACTTGTTATACAGTAACGGTTAAGTAAGAAATTGGCTTCACATTTCAAGGATTTTTCACCGACACACTTCAACGCACCTCCACATAACTTATCACTGACATCTAGTCTGAGACCATAGATTACGATATGTTTAGCTAAGAAATGTCAATTTCGACAAAAAATACACTACTTTTATGCATAATAGTCTTGATTATATTATGAAATTTATTGACCCTGACCAACGCAAAAATATGATTTTTAGTTTCATTTTATTTTGCGTGGTGTATTTTTTTTATCATTACTTCTGGTATAAACGTATACAAACATGAAAATGAAGTTTATTTTCGATCATATAAACATATGGAAATTTTGTAAGTGCGCAACAAATGCTTTTATTTACATTTTTGTGCATCGATGGATGAAAGTTTGTACGTTTTGCAGTTATGAAATTTATATTTGTGATCATTCTGAAATCTATGGCATAATAGCTATTTATTATTTTATGTAAAACAGGTAGATAGCCACTATGTCCCAGGTTATCTGTTTACATGTATATTGGGGACATATTTTAAAATTTACTAGGAAATCAATATTGCCCTTGTGGCTTAAAATGAATCATGATGACTTCTAATTAGGTCTTGTGTGGAAAAATGTAAGTCATCTCTTTTTAGACTATTACTAATCTGCTTGTATTTATTCAGGGACAGCCTAGGTGTAAAATAACAACTGAGCAGTAAGAAAAATTGCATTAATACCTGATCTGTGTATCACTTCGAAGATCTGTAATAATAATAATAATAATGACTGAGAGCTATTTTAAACAAAAAGGTCACTAACAACAACGAATTTTTCAATGAATATTAAAAAAGCTCGGAACAGTTCTATCACTTATGATTTCAGCTATACACTGAAAATTCTTTCTCAGATCTAATCACCTTCCACACTGTAAAGTGTTTTCATTTTCGTCTAAAGCTGACAAGACTTACCATCCATTGCATTCATATATATGTGCAATCCGTAACTTATTTCCTTCTTCAACCCATCTTGGTTCAGTTACACTTGCATTCGTATACATAATCTATGCATAGTTCATTTTGGTTGATATTAAACTATTAAAAGTGGTCGACAGGAAGCACTGGTTCCAAATTCAAGATAAAAGTGTAACGACCACTGTTAGCAGTTATCTGTTATGATAGTGATTTGAGTTCTTTGGATTGCATAATTCTGCAGACTAACTTTTTTTTACCAGTAAACTGTTCTATCACAAGTATACTTTTTTCCTGTAGCCTATTTCAATCTGGCTTACCAGCGAAGATCAATATTTTCATACTAAAATTCAACAAAAAACCCATCATAGCGTAAATAATTTTCTACTTGATAGGAATTTCAATGTGATATTTACGAAATTCATAAAAATAATACAGTCACATTCGATGCAACTTTTTTTCTTGAAACTGAAAAACTAGTTATTACTTTTCTCAATGATGTCCCTTCTATGTAATATTTAAGAGCCAACTTACTTTATTGTGAATTCTCACTTGAAACGATCGAAGGATTTCACCGATATCTTTCTAGACAGGGTAACTTAGAGTACCTTAGTTACCATAATGATATCGTGAAGTACAGGTATTTCTAGTGTTTCAAACTGAACTTCCTTCAAGGAAAATGGTTGATATCATAGCCTGATTAAGTGAATAAACATGAAAACCAGTGAGTATAGAATAACTCTTCGATTCAAGCCTGAGTTTTTATCAGCATATCTTTGGTGTAAATAGGATCAAATCCAGGACATTCTAGAGGTTACAACAACTATATAAACCATCTACCACTGAAGTGAAATTCAGTGGTTGTCATCATGAGCTCCAGTCAATTTATGATAAAAAGAGAAGTCCATAAAGTTTTCTTATTTCCAAGGGAGTGTGTTGAGCATCTCTAACCATTATAAACAGTAAGTTCATTCATACAATCTTAATAATTCTCATAAAATTATCAACAAACTATTTGAATGGTTTCCTTTTCCTGTGATATGTCATCTAGATTTGATATCTAAGTATTGCCAAAATGCATGTCATATTGTTCAAGTATTTGTTAACACTGCAAGCATACATCAAAGAAATTTCAACCAGAACTCAAGTACATACCAGGGTGATAATTATCTGAATAATAATAATACTCCTACAAGTGCACAGCTGAATTGTACGAAATTATTTAAGATAGGGTGCATTGGATTACATGATGAAATGACTTGGGATGATATGGATAAACAACTTCAAAAACTATTTCAAGTAAGTGAATTTAAATTTACTACCTAATAACCGTTAGTACACTTTTCGGTTAGCTATTTTGTAATGTCTTCATTTTAATCTCAACATTCAGATGCTTTAAAAATTTACCAATAAATTTCATACATTTTTCACTTCTGGATTTATATACCCAGTTATAAAATTATTACTGTGTTTCTGAATTACTGTCAATAGAACAGAAAGTCTTCTTCATTCTTCTTCTGGAATATCCATGAAAAGAAGAATAATTTAATCATCATTAATTGCGATCATGAAACAACGACCATTTTAACAGAGTGACAGTCTATTTTTCTCTACCAAGTGCGCTGATATAAAATGAAATATACGGTTCTCAGAGAATAATAGTGAGAAGCTTAGGACGCTAAAAATATAAGCGAATTAGTCTTAAGCATGGTTCAAAAATAAAGGGATAAGAACTAACCATTGAACTAGTGAACGAATTAACAACAACAGTTTTGTAAGATTTGTAGACAAAATGAAAAACTGGACCAATTTCTAATGTATGTATAACACATTTTGAACCACCTACTACTTTATAGAAGAAAGCACAACGGTGTAAACGGCTTCTACCGGTCCTGCAGTTCTGGAAATATATACGCTTATACATCGTTGAAATTTTCGTTCATAATTAGTAATACGGAATCTGAACTTCAAAAGATGGCAATGTCAAAATCTGCGACTTCGTTAACGATAAGCAGTGATAGATACTTTATTCTAAAGTAGAACATAAGTAATTTAAAATTCTTTGCATTTTCCCTTCAGACAGACGCTAACCTAACAACATCAGGGGGCTTCACAATGACATTTGTAATGTGGTTGGTTGGTAACATCATTGAGACGCTATATTTAGTTTACTTTAAATACTACACAGGTATAAATATGTTCAGATACCACAGATGAAGAATTCCTTGATGTGTCAAACATATCGTATGGAATAAAGTGATTACTATTATTATTATTAATATTACTACACGGATCATACCAATAGTCTGGGAATTCATGACTGTCATGCTTTAGTTACTTGCTACTGTTTACCAGCATGAATCTACTTGAGCTAATATTGCAAAACTGGGCAGGTGGTGAAGAAACACGTGCAATAGGCTACCCAGCCATGAGTTGGTGAGGGTTCACAACCTCATCAACTGACACTCCTCTTCTACCTAAAACTCAATGCCTGACTTCTGCATTATTAATTTAGTGGTTTCAAGACACACGGTCTATGCACTGAAGGCAAAAGTCATTGAACATCTGACCCCTTCATATTTTCACCTCTGTTGATTGTCATTTTTCACAGCCACATAGTAAAAAGGAGTGAATTTTAGCTCAGTAAATTCAGGCTTTACTATAAAGTCAGATATCATAGTGGCACTGTGAAGTCGGAAAAAGCTAATCTAGGCTTCTGTATTCATGCGTGGGTTTTAATAATCACTACACAATCGTCGGTTATTGGACTTTCTAAGCAAGTGAAGTGGTCAACGCACTCATCCACTTCACTCCATATTGTTGAACAAGGTATCAATGCAAACCAATTCTGGAGAAATCAGTGTTATTTGAGTGGTAAGAAGCGTATCTTAAACATCCGCAACTTCCCACTCAGGGTGTTCGGAAAACTCTTCATTAACGTCTACATCCAGCAACGCCATGTCATGCAGAGTCTAGATCTACTAAGAAGTGTCCTGTGACAAGGTTATCCTTTATAAAGTCAAACGAGGAAAGGAAGACCCCAATAAGCACTTCTACATAAAACTAATAAGAGTGGATATAGCAGATATCCTTGACGGATACCATTCGACGTAAACAGCCCACCTGATAACTCACCATAGGCTGAAACACGCCTGCGAGTATTCGAGTACATTTCAGTCGATAGAGTGATGCACTTACTTGAAATCTTTTTCCGGGGGAGATAATAGTAAACACCTCTCGATTGATAAAATCCAGTGCCACCATGTGCAAATAAAACTTTTAAGTTATAGTCAGTTAGGCAGACAAGTCCTTTCACTGTCGATTTTAGTATGTTGTCATCATTCGTAAATCCACAATATCATTCATGTTTATTGTATGGTAATAAAGCATTAACCGTATCTGATATATTCACCTAGATGAGCCTTTATTATTGTCATTTATGTATTCAAAAGATATCCACATCATCATATAATCTGTTATCAGAAAGTATTACAAAAGTGAAATAGCTAGGAAACTTTGACATTCTACTCTTATCAGGATCTACCATACAAATATTTTAAATATTAATATAGTGGTGTGATATCAGCAGCTGGGGATAAAACCAGGGATAAACCGTTATTCAGGCATTTTAATTCTATTCAGCGATTGACAAAATGATGAATGACTATCACACATACAGAAAAAAGGTATATTTGTAACTTGTAGTCGTTTGTTAAATCCAGTATTTTCTTTTTGACAAGTCCCTGTGAAAACCTTATGTGATGGCATAAATACATTAGTTTATATGTCGACTTGGTTAGGACTTTTCCCAACATTCTTGGTCATATCTCTTCATTTTGAAGTTAAAAACATGTCTCTTGTCCCTTATTAATTATTTTATACATCTGAATCATTTTTATCAATCGTATTCTTGAAACTTAAAGTAACTTCACTTAGAGCAGAACTGGAAGAGGTAATTTAAGAGTGAATAATGATTAAATAGTGACAATCATAACCTTGTTTAACGAATTCTTACCTCTGATCGACTTTCATCAGAGTAGTTAACAATATTGTCCCCGATCAATGTTGATCAGTATGCGAGTAAGTAAGGCTAAATTATCTTAACTCATTTACTGTCCAGAAACTAACCAACACACTAAATTCGTTTCTATAAGAGCCTAGCAGTATCTTTAGTGTGGTAAAACATCTCACCATTATGCTGAATCATATGGCTTAATATCCAAGTGAAATGTTATCACTCATTATAAAGGCTGTATTTTCGAAATGCTCAACAAGTGAATTTGATTTGAAAACGTGAATTTTTCAAGAGAATGCAACTTGGTTACTCAAGGCTTCTAAATAAAATAACTTCGTAAGTTAGATTGTATGAGAATGAAATAACGCGCCTACTGATACACTAAATTGTCGATAAAGCTGATTACATGTGACCTTACATTTCAATAGTGATCAACTCCAGTGTGCCGAAAAAACTTCAAGTAGTTTAAATGCATTTCGGTTTAGTTTCTAGTAGTCATATCAAAAATAATAGTACTAACACGTTTACTAATTCATCTAACACAAGATTAACAGCAGGGACGAAGCCATGTCGAAAATATCCAATCAGAATACAAATTTCTAGTGCACTGTACTGGATAATATGAGTCACACGCAGTAAACGTTGCATCATTATTTGTAAGAGCCTCAAGCGACATGTCACACAAACACAGCTAGAAATCAAGCATAACAAGTGAAAATAAGTCCCAAGAACACTAAAACTGTTGTTTGTTTTTTCTTCTAATTTTTACCGCAGAAAGGTAAGAAATCAAAAAGAACTCATCATCTGCTTTTCTACGCTGTTCTAAGCTAGAGAAAATTTTTTAATTTGACTTGAGAATTATCCATAAATCCTCACTTTTCAATGACGAGGAACTTTAACCGCCAAGTATGAATAATGTTTGTTGAAAGAAACAGACCATTGATATCTCACCGGTTTAAGGATTAACCTTTTGACTATTTAAGCAATGATTGCCAAGTACTTATCTCGGGAAGGAAGAAGCATAGTCAGATAAGATTATGGATTTAATGAATCCCAAACGGGAGAAGAAAGTACCATGAATTCTATTTCTGCCTAGAGCTAAACAGTGTTTTGGTCACCATATATTAAACAACCCCTGATTTTGACTATCATTTCAGCTGTCTGTTTATGATATGAACTAATTTTCATCAAACAGGATCCTCTTCTGAATTCAGTCGTCAAGAAAAATTTTCAGTGTTTTGTTTGATCACCTTGTTAACAGAAAGGATGAAGATATCGAAAAGATAAGACAGAAATGATTTTCCTCGAACAAAGAAGATGATAGAAACAAACCTGAACACATAAATATTTGTGTATACGTCTATTTTCAAGATGGTATTGTATTACTTTCTGTGTGTGTGAGTTTATCACCTCCTTTGTAATAAAAAGATGTAAATTAGTCAGATCGAAAATTATTTATTTGTTGTTAAGACATAGCACCTGCTGTTTGCTACATCTTTTACTGATACTTTAGCAGTAAATATTTTAATTAAAAAGTAAACATCCATGAAAATACTTCACCTTATGAACAAATAAATGATTAATTCTATAAAGAGCAACAATCTAATAGGAGAATGTTTTCAATAAATTCTCTTCAGGTTCTACAATTATAAGGTGCATTTGTACATTGTAAAAACAAGCCATCTTATGGGCAAACACAATTTCATAATGGAGTAAGACCTGGGAATTGTCAGGAAATGGATTCATCTTTTTTAAATCAGTCGATATTAGGATGATAAATATACAGAAGAATTATAAGATGGTGAGCAAAAAGACAACAAATAATAGGACAGGAGTGGCTTTAATTTACTGAAGACCAAGGGACAAGTAACGCTTGAACATATTTTTTCTGAATACAGAGTTCAGGCTTGATCAATCTTATCGCGACAGCCCTCTGTTATGTTGAGCAGGCGTCGGCAAGCTACACGTGGTATCGTTGTTGGAACATGATGAATGACATTAAAAGCTTTATTAGCATCTGTGTGATGCCCTATGTCGACTAGATGCACTAGGTCTAAACTTTTAATTACTTTCACTTCACCCTTTCCGAATCCAGCTGGTAAATGTTCTCCTATCCAGAGACGCGCATGCTTAGTCTTACACCCCATGCAACTAGTTCCATAGAAATGGTCAAGTTTATATATGCAAGATGAAAAGCTAAGATTTGGTAGGCTGTTCTTTAGTCTTAGATTGAGCAACGGCTAACTACTGAATGATATATAAAGCCGACCTGAATAAAACGTCCTACCGACTACTCTAGCTAGGCCTCGTGATAGGATGCCACTTGCAGCATCTCCCTCGAATTGTAGCTGCAGAAAGACAGGCTTCTCCACTGTCATTAGTTCTCATTTAGGACCGATATATTTGACGTTAGCTTCGATGAACTTGTCACAGTATCCGTTTCCACTTAGAATATCAGGGATACACAATAGTTCTTTTTCCACACACTCCTTGGAACAAATCGATCTCACTCTAAATGCCAGATACCTGACTATATTACATTTGTACTTGGTCGACACGAAGCTGAGAAAGTGGGTATACTATGCCTTATATATCCGTTTTCTATACGAACTTCTGAGCATAGAGCCATTTTTCCTCGTCATTCACACATCACGAAAATGCATCGAATCACTGATTTCATTTTCATATGTGAAATGAACTGATGCGTGAGCGCTGTTGAAATGGTTCAGAATGGAATTCATACGAATGCACCTATGAAAGACTGAAAAGTATCGTCAGTGTATCAACAGTACAACTCCATATTAGCAATTTGATCCTTCAGAGAATGATTTTCTAATTTTGCCAAAAATATGTCGGCAAACATTGGGCCCAATGGAGATCCCATAACCACTCCGTCAACTTGCTTGTACAGACTACTGTTGAATATGAACTGGACATTCATTGTACAATTTAGCAATAGTTCCTTCAAATTCATAATAGGATGCCAGTGTCTAATTTCCTTTTCAATAAGTGTTCACAAATATAATCGACGGTTTCCATTAGAGGAAAGTTAGTAAACAAAAATGTGACATCTAGGGATCGCATGGATCTGTTTAAAACGTTTTTGCCTTGTATATAAACTGGAAGGTGTCTTTCACACCATACTTTGCTAATTGGTCACGGAAAGGTTGAAGTAATCGTACTGAGCATTAGCAATAGAGTGGTGGGGCGAGTTGATCATGTTTAGGATGGGGCGAAGAGACACCTCCAGTTTATGTAGTTTTGGTAATCCATAAATCCGTGGAATCATGCTGCCTATAGAATTCAAATTTTCAAATGAGGTTGATAAAATGTATCTGTCATCTTTCAGTTCTGTGACTTAAACAAATATAAACTTTTCCTAACGTAGACGTTTTATTCAGCGCCTGATAATTGCGATACTATTGGGTCAAGTCTTGGTCATAGTTCATTTAAGCGTCTTCAAAACGTTCCGCTGATACAGTTGTTACTCGTCGAATTTCATCTACAAAATGTATTTGTAAGTTTTCGGAAGCTTATTCATGGGTAAATAGACCAATTTATGATAATAACGGATGAATTTAACGACTGCTTGTCTCTTCCATGTCTCCCTTGGGGTTTTGGTCACACCCAACTAAAAATCATGGTTACATATGCTAGGGGATACAGTTCAAAATATATGACAGTGACTCAAATGCATATATATATATATATATATATATATATATATATATATATATATATATATATATATATATATATATATATATATAGTATTCACTTTAATAATGATATCAGTTTACTCTTTTTACTACATTCACTCTTCGTTTATCTCTTGATTTTTTTATGACTGTTGGTGTGATTGTTTTAACGTTTTCTACCTTTCTTCAACATCGAAAAACCTTTTTTTTCTATTGATGTTCCTAGTCACCTTTTCAAATATTATGTACTTAATTTAACTAGGATGAAAAGACTGTCCAGGGTCCTCAGATTTTAAGTAATTAGTTGTCAAGTGTGCAAACTACGTGAAATATAATAATTTCCTGTAGAAAAACCTTACTGAGCAAACAACTGTGGCATGTACTTAAATTCTTGGCATCAGAGACTCATAAAAATTTGAAATAGTATTGTGGCCATTGGTTGTTCAAAATGTTTCCCATCGCTGTAATCCCTTAATAGTATATCTGAAAATCAATTGCTATTATTACTTTGCAGCATCATATAGATTTCTTGGATCCTCATGAACAGCTGCGACTTCACTCTCTTGAACCACAAGCTTACCAACTAAACTTTATGTTTACCGATCAAGGTGAAATGAAGACACAAAGTATTGTTCGATGCTTCTGCCTACCATCCTGTTCAATGTCATTATCACTACCGACATCGTCAACGTGTTCTAAAATTGAAAACCAGTCCCAAATGACTTGTGCATTAGTGCTAACACCTACTACTTCTATGGATAGAGAGATTTCTTCACAATCTCCTGCTATCTGGGTGAATGATATAATCAAGGAACATGATGCCAAAACGTACACCTTATCCTTACAAGTACATCTAAAAGGTTGCCCTATGAAGTTCTCCTTAGAAAAAGAGCACAACATACGACATCCCACAGTTGTTGGGAATACTGATATGTTAAAATATGTATGTTTCGGAAGCCTAGTACCATTAAACACACTGAACTCTTATTTATCCCTTATTCAACAAAATCCAGTTGTTATAATTTGTGGACCAAGTGGAACAGGAAAATCTCACCTAGTGAATGATTTGACAAGGCTTTTAATCAGAGAGTAAGTCAATTTCTTGAAGTGGAAGGATTTTGAATGAAATGTTTGTTGGCTGCTTTTTTATGCTAACTGAGAACGGTATGTTGACAATATTGCTGCTAAAATATGCACAGATTCCATTCCTTTTTAAGTTTTCAAACTTTTTGAAGCTGTTTTGGTATCAGTTACTCTGTAAATAACTTCAAATAAGCAACGAACTTCGCCCACAAACATGCTGATATCAGAAAAGACAACATTTTCAGTTCATTGAGAGAGCTATTTAGAATGTAATTAGAAGTGGATTTCAGCTATAAATCCAGATGATGTATAGTGAAGTTTATAGAACTTTGACAACAAGATAAGCATTGCTCTCTTCAGCTCCCTAAAGTTACATAATCAACCAGAGTAATAGTAACTTTATGCACATTATTTTATGTAAGCTTTTCTGTTAATACTTTATTCCCTCCCATTATTGTGAGGTCTGTACATTTATTTAACAGAGTAGAAAGAATGAAATCTGACAATTGTGTGATCCATTAAGTGTTAAAACACAGACAGTGATGAGGTTTCAATTATAATTCAGTCACCAGACCATTTTTTCAAATGTGGTGTAAATTACTGATACACTAAGAATAGTTTTAGCAAGGGAATATAAAATCATAATCAACATTTCGTGGAGTGGAGACCCGGAGGTCTCTCGTTTGTATCTCACTGTGACTCAGGTTTACATTTATTCGTCATTTCTGATTTGTCAACACCGTAATGCGAAATGAAGGTGACTAATAAACTGTTGTAATAAAAAATAACATCAATATGATACAATTTTCCTTTCAGTATTTGTGGAATATATTCACTCTCAATAACTGGTCATTGATAATATTTGTTTTAAACTTTAAAATATTTAACCTTGGTTAACTAGTTTTAATCTCCCACTAAGTATGACTAATTACATACTTTTTGTGCTGCTAGAATTTAAGTCGAAATCATATATTTTTCACTTCAAAACGTAAAGGTGAATCACTCCAATTTCATCTTGAATTTCAGTTTGAGACAAGTTTAGTAAAAATTATGTTAAGTGACTAGAAATGCATTCAATTAGACTAAAGGATGACGATAAACCATGATTTATCATATGTTTCATGATAACTTATATGGTTACAAATAAATTTCAGTGGAATCTGAGTATTGAATAGCCTTACCATTAGAAACCGGTTAGCCGTGAACCAATGGTGACAGGATTTTAAAAATTCTGGTCTCCGTTATTCATAAACATACTTTAATATAATAGTAGTACAGAATGGCAGTCAACTGGATCTTTACCACAACTCCATCTACTTTGAAAAACCCTTCGATAGCGTTGACCGAGAAGTAATTTGACAGGCAGCTGCTTCAACACTACAGTTTTAGTGCAACAAACCCTTATCAACCTCATTCAACAGCAGCTATATGCTATAGTATATGATACTACATGCAAAGTGATTCACAATGGAGAGCTCAGTGATGCCTTTGAAGTGAAGACAGGAGACAGGAGTAAGACAAGTGTGCTGCCTACTATCACTGATCATCTTCCTCATTGTGGTCGACTCGACTCTACTCGACTCGACTGAACTGGACTGGACTGGATAATGCAAGAGACAACTGTGAGGAGCGAGAAGAGGGATATGTGCTTGCTGGACCGACGAAAGACCGACCCTAGAAGAAGATTTGGATTGTATCACAGATGATGATTTCTGTCTAATATCTTGTGGCAAAACTAACAGGTTGGCAGAAAAGGCAGGGCGGCGAAGACGTGACACGTTCAGATGAACGTAGAGAAGACAGGGGGATGAAGATACCCACCCACCACCACCACCACCAACAACAACAACAACAACAACATGTACCAATCACGATGGACGGGAGAAATGTAAAGGAAGTTGTCTCTTTCACCCACCTGCCTAGACAGCATCCTTTCAGCTACAGGCGACGGTGGCACAGATGAGGATGTCAAAGCCAGGATTTGAAAAGCAAGAGAGGCCTTCATTAATCTGAAGTCAGTGTGTAGATCTACTGCACTGCACTGCACTCAGCATAAAGCGTGAACAACATCCGGATTTTCAGCACTAATGCCAGTCAAGTCAGTGCTTCTATGTGATATGGCGCATCACAAAAAGCATTTCCAACAAACTACAGACATTCATCAACAGCTGCCTACGCTGGCTTGATACTGAAGATCAGATGGCTAGAATAATAAGAATAGGTAACAAGGAACTCTGGCTAGCTGTCTGGCAACGAACCAACCAAGAACCCATCTTCCAACAAATATGCAGAAGAGAGTGGAGATGGATTGGATTGAGCATACACTGAGAAGACCACTTGGCGATATCACGCGTCAGATCAGACCATCGAGTGGAACCCGTATGTGAAACGACGAGTTGGGTGTCCGAGGCGAGGTTTACATGGAGGAGATTGTGTGAGGAAGAAATGAAAGCTTGTGGGCAGTCATGGAGTCAGGTTAAAAGGACTGCAGAGAATAGAGTAGAATGGAGATGTACTCATCATCATCATCATTATCAACATAGGACCAGGCATTACTGCGTAACGGTCCGAGTTGCCACACCTCATATCAGCACATCAAGTAAAAGGTAGTGAGGTGAAGGATGAAGATAAGTGAATGCAGTCAAAAGAAATATAAAGTACGAGAAGAAAGGAAAGAGGAGTGACAAAATAGTGAGATTCGGTATAGCGTTGTTAAGATGAGGATAATGTGTGTATACATCTGCGCCACTGACTTCGGTTCTGAGCCATATCACCTAGGGTCTCCAACCACTGGTTCCTCTTGTCCCGTGGACCCCAACCACCTAGTCTGCATCGTCCTACATGGCTTAAACCAACAGTCAGAGACTTCATACATTGGTGCCATGTTTTAGTCTGGCCACCTCGGGCCTTTTTCCAGCCTGAACCCACCTCAGCCAACATTGTGTGACGAGGCAATCGGTGACTAGGCATACGTAGTACGTGTCCCAACCATCTCAGTCGATGAAGGTTCACAACCTCGTCGACTGACTTACCTCTTCTCCCTAAAACTCTACACCTAACTTCTGCATTACTCACATGGTGACACCACGGAATACGTCCTATACTACGAAGGCAACGGTGGTCAAATACCTGTAACCTTCTCATGTCTTCCACTTTCAATGGCCATGTTTCACAGCCATACAGTAGAACAGAGCGGACTGCTGTGCAGTACACGCGACCCTTAATAGACAAACGAATATCACGGCGGCGCCATAGGTGGCGCAAATTGGCAAAAGCCAATCGAGCCTTTTGTATCCGTGCAGAAATCTCATCGGCAACTAACCCACCGGGTTGATCCTACTTCCCAGGTAAGTGAAGTGGTCAACACACTCAACCACTTCACTCTCTATTGTTAACCGCGGTACCGCTGAAGACCAGTCCTGGAGCAAAAATTTGCATTTGGGTGGTGAAAATCGCATCCCAAACATTCTCAAATTCCCACTCAAAGTGTTCAGAAGACTCTGCATCTTGTCAGCGTCTTCACCTAACAGGACTATGTCATCTGCATATTCTAGATCTAAGGAAAATTCACCTGTGATCCGGTCAACGTCTTTGTAATTAGGTGACGAGAGGGAAACCTCCATAAGAATATCTATGATAAAATTAAATAAGAATGGGGATAGTGGGCATCCTTGACGGACACCACTTGATGAGTATAGCTCCCTGGACAACTCACCATAGGCTCTAACATGCCCACAAGTGTTCGAGTAGAGAGCTTTCAATAAGGTGATGTACTTACTAGGCACGCCTTTCAGTGACAGACACTGCCATAAGACTTCTCGATCAACGGAGTCAAATGCCGCCTTCAGGTCGAGAAATACAGCTATTGTCGGGCGTCTGTAAGCATGCCTATGTTCCAGGACCTGGCGCAGTGTGAATATTTGGTCGATACATCCACGGCCAGGTCTAAAGCCTGCCTGGTTTTCTCGGGCTTGCTGTTCCCGAGCTCCACTCAGGCGTCGGAGAATTATAGAACTTAGGATCTTAGACACTATGTTTGTCAGGCTGATTCCTCTGTGGTTATCACAAGAGGACTTCTCGCCTTTCTTGAAGACTGGGATGATGAGTGACTTAGACCAGTCGGAGGGGATCGTATTTGATTCCCATATACTGGCTAACACTTCCGTTAGCCTGACTAAGAGAACTCTACCACCATTCTTGTATACCTCAGCAGGTAGTCCGTCTGGTCCTGCTGCCCTTCCCCGTTTCAGGCTACCTACCGCTTTCTCAACTTCTTCTAGTGTTGGGGGACCTGTCTCTATGTCCCATTCAGGGTCCGACTGGATAGCGGGCAGCGCAATGGTGGCTGGAGGCCAGTTAAACTGTTCCTCAAAGTGTTCTGCCCATCGTCCCAGTCGCCTTCCCTGCGAGTGAATCGCCGATCCGTCCTTCTCCGCTATAACCTCACTAACTGTTGTTGACCATTTCCCCCCAGTCTCCTTAATAAGTCTAAATAACTGTCTACTGTTACCGATCGCCGCTGCCTTTTCCATCTCTTTAGCCTTTGCTGCCCACCACTGTTCACGATCGTTGCGCAGACTTTTCGTCAGTTTATTTTTAAGTTGCGCTCGCTCTTCATTGTACTCAGAGCCTGCAGGGATGCATTCACGTGCATCCATTAGTTTGGAAGAAGCTGCTGATATCCACTGGCTCTTTTTAGCCATTATCTTGGAGTCGGCTACAGTCTCCAGTGCTGCTTTTACAGTAGACTGAAGATGGCACCAAGCTTCTTCTGGATGAGTGACAGTCTTTTGTTCCGATAACTGCCTAGCCAACTTCTCACTGAACACGGCTTTGGTGTTTTCGTTGTCCAGCAGAACTCGTAGTGGTTTTGTTGCCAAATTTTTTCTACGTCCATTGAGACGCAGGCATATACGTGCTCGGACCAACGCATGATCGCTGTCCAAACACGTACTCCAGAAGGAGCGGCAGTCTTCCACCGATCCTCTCCAGCGATGACTAATAGCAATGTGGTCTATCTGTGTCCATCGCTGAGTCGAGCTCGGTGGACGCCAGGTCAGACAGTGCCTTTCTTTATGTCTGAAATTTGTGCTGGCTAAAAATAGGCGGTTATCTGAGCATAGTTGTAATAGGCGATCACCGTTATCTGTACGTTCAGCTGGGATTCCGAAAGTGCCACCTAAGTGCCTTTCTGCCTCACTCAGTCTACCCACCTGTGCGTTGAGGTCACCTGCAACAACCACTACGTCCGAACGTTTGGCTTTCGAGAGGAGGTTAGACAGTTTATGGTAGAACTCGTCCTTCACTTCATCCGAACTACAGTCAGTGGGTGCGTAAGCAGAGATTACAAAGAGACAACGGCGAGTCTCACTATTCCTTTTAGTTCTCACTGTGCCGTTCAGCCTCATAGCGCAGAGGCGACTATCAACTGGGATCCAGTCTAGTAGTGAGTTTTCTGCCCTGGTGCTTAATGCTATACCTACACCTGCAAGACCACGAGAGCTAGCTATCGAATCTCCAGAAACTCGAAGGGTGAATTTTGCAGATTCACCAGATTGGTCAGGAGAGGTCAGGTGAATAACCACACTTGGGTCCTGTATGCGTGTCTCACAAACACAGCACACATCCATGCCTCGAGTTGCTAGAGTCTTTGCCAACGAAGCCTGTTGGCCAATTTGACGGAGGGTGCGGACATTGAAGGCTCCAATATGTAATTTGGAGCGTGGTTTAAGGAGACCAGGGACGCTGTTCTGTGGACTCAGATCGTTGTCGAAGGCTGCAGAGGTAGGAGAAATTGAAGATGATGCAGCATCATTAATTAAGAGACGTGAAGGAAGATTAGAAGGTAATGATGGAGGAGGAGGATAGCAGTCAGAAGAAACTTGGGTGCTGACAGAGTTGTGAGGGCGGTTGACACTTCCCGGCTGCCCACACCGTGGAAGGCTATTTCTTCTTAAGGTACCTGAAAGAGATTTGTGTGACCGCAGAGCCCATCGGACATCTGCTTGAGGCCTGTCACACCCAGCCTTTTGAGTATGATTATTTTGAATTTTTGTATTTTTGGGGCCGGATGATCGAAAGGAAACGACAAGTGAACCAACACCGCCGGCCCGGCAGACCGTGGGGCGTGGTGGAGTGTGTTATTTTTGGGGCCGACCTTTTCTAACCCCCCCTTCCACTGAGAAGGCAGCATCAGCTTGGCACTGCTGGTCATCCAAGGGAAACACCTTACTGCTGTCACACCCCATCCAGCTAGCAGCAGTACGACTTCGCCCTCAGACCCCCATCATAGTGTAGCAATTTACACTATAACGGTAACTGCTTTTCGTCTAACCACTACCCAACAGACCTTTCTGGTATGGTAGGACCTCGAGGGAACAAGCGTTCCACCAGCATAGCTCGTTGGGTCATTGTGATATGCAAGCCCGACCACCACGTCAAGGTAGCAGCTATCGGTCGTGGGAGTCAGGTTAAAAGGACTGCAGAGAATAGAGTAGAATGGAGATGTACTACTGAAGCCCTATGTTCCACTAGGAACCTAAAGGATAAATAATAATAATATGGTGATAATAGTAGACTGAAATAGGATAGTGGCATGATTTGCTGCAATTTTTGATGAAAAGCACTACAAACGGCGAAAAATTTCATGGAGGAATTGTACTAAAGAGGTATGCGGCTAAATTGTTATTCAGTGATTTAAATTCGATTGGTGGTTACCACTGACATTGGTATGTGCTTGCTATTCCATATTTTAAATGTGGAAGGATTTACTTGACTGTTAACTATTTATGAAATGATAGTCTGGTTGTTAAGGTTCTTTGTGTAGATATAAAAACACCTAATATTCTGAGTGATGAGTGAATCTAAAGCATATAACTACAATTCAAGGTACTTTGTTAGTGAAAAGGGGAAATCAAGAGGAGTTGAATCTTATTTTTATCTTTCTGAATCATCCTTTAGGTAGCTGGAGTTGGTATAGGTCCACTCCGTTTTGAAATTCCTTATCACGTCACGTAATGCTCTGATGAGTGTTACCAGAAGGATGAGTCATTCAATAATTGAAAAATACAACATCCTAAACGATATGTGATTTGTAACCGTTAAAGTGGGAAATGTGTATATTCGTGAAGGCTTAGTTGGAGAAAGAGGTATTATCGCCGAACAACTATAAAGATAGATCAGGTCAATAATAAGTCACTGAATTTCTATCCTAACGTATGCTCAGATTTGATTTTATGCATTCAAACAAAAGATTTTTCGTAAAATCATGAAACAGAGAAGTGAATCCTTGTCTTCCACTTATCAAGAAATTGTTGTACCTAAAAAATACAGTATATATAGACGATCGGATAGTCAAAAAAAAGTCTTAGACCTCTTGAGTGTCCTCACAAATTGACTGTCTATAAGAAGCATTTCGTAAGCTTGAATGCCTTTGGTCAACAAAAAAAATGAATAAATAAGAAGCAATTAAAAAGATTTGCATCCTATAAATTTCTATCTCAATTAAAAAGGAGTCAGATAGGTGAGTGACAAAACAGGCTATTGCTGCACTAAATTTCGTTGAATTTAAGGCAATATGTCTATGTGATGAGCTTAACTTAGACAAAATGAAATGAATTTATCTTATCTTTCAACGTCTTTGCTACGAATTTAGAAAAGTTGTAGCAATAAAGTGAATATCACCGTTAGTGATTCTTTTGATAAGCATTCACAAATACATCTAGTTATATTGAAAATACTAACATTAATTATGCATAAGAAACAATCTTTTAAACTTGAGGATATAGTTTTTTTTAAAAATATGACTTTTGCTTACATAGCACATTAGGATGAAAACAGCTACAGTAAACATTGCTACTTTTGATCGAATTCTATCTTTATGTAAACTTAGAAGTAGAAAGGATAAAGATAATCTCGTTTATTTGAAGTGAAGACAGTGCAGATTAAACTGTCTTCTTAAGTCTTGTACCTTTTTTTTAATAATAACGGTACATTAGAAGGAGACAAGACTTATGCTGATGTTATGCAAATGACAGCTAGGTTCTTATTTAAGTATATGGAATCTTTGACTCACTATTCTCATCAGTAAGGCATACATCAAAGTGTAATACAATTAAAAATTCTTTACAGATATTTTCCTCCTTATAAGTAATCAGTATATTGTCCAAGTAACACTACCCACAGATATATTTTCTGCACGGAGTGTTTTTATGGTATTACGAAGCTCGCGACATATTGTCTTTCTCTTTATTTCTTATCCAGCTATAACAAAATCTAAAGATAAACGAATTCTTAAAGCTGATGACTTCTAGTTTCTGCGGGCTAAAATTCATCAGACATGGCTGCAAATAAACTCACCTTTACTTGTAACTGTAATGAAACATTTAAAATCTAAGACTTGAAAAAACTCAACGGGTTAGTTAGTATTTTCGGTGTTGCTATATCCCTGTGACTTGACACTAACGCCCTATTTCATGCATCTTTGAGTTGTTAACAGTAAATTACATAGGCATAAAGATTTGTATAGAATAACTTTTTTAATACTTCATACAAAAATGTACTGGACTACATGATTCAAAAATCCGCCTATGGGATGCTAATATGAAATCTGTAGTGTAGTGATCATAATAGGACACAAACTAGGACACTACAAATAATAACTGAGTATTGCTGTCATAACTTACATAACATTTACTACATGGACTCTCTTCCTTAGCACAGATCATTGAACCTTGTCTTATCATTCGCCTTACCTTCAGTAAATTCTATTGAAAACGAAAATGCTGTCTCTATTGATAACCCAGAGGCTTTAAAAATGTGCCCTGGTTTATGTAAAACGTGTTTTCTAGCCATTTAATAGACAATTTAAAACTTAACCAACAAGGGTGAATATTCACATGATATACAACATAGGCCATTTAAAATTATCAGCTAGTTAGTTTAAAGACATCATTAGTCACCTCAGTGTTGCATGCCTGTCAGCATAGTTTCTGTATGGTTCATTAGTCAAGTTGACGGGTAAGTTTCATTCTGACAGAATAACTAAAAACCCCCAAATCTTCATTTGTATTGACTAAAGTATATTTTTTTGATTTATGAAACTGCTTTTCGGGTAGACGTAACAATTATTATATGTACAGCTATTACATGTACATCATTTATGATTGATTTTCTAACAACATTACCATCCCCTAATATTTTATCTGCCGTAAATACTAAAACTTCTGTGTAACCAAACTTCTACCCTGTTAAGTGTTATCCTTAAAACCTTTTAGTCTAGGTAAATAATCAATATTTTTAAAGCAATTTCTTCAGAAATGCGAATATCTTATTTAAACAAGTGCTTTCATTTCATTTTCAGTCCATTCGATGTTAATGCAATTTACAAGTTCTGGTTTAAAAATGATGGAGGTACAACCTTGAAAGAAGTAAAGAATACTCTTAATCAGCAGTTAGCATCCCATGCTAAGTATGGCTTTCCCGAAGTTATAAACTTGTTTAATATTCATCATCTCAAAGGATCTTTGTTAGACATCTTAAGTCTACTCAATACTTCATTAAAATGGTAAGCCTTTTAAAAAAACTTTCACGATGGCTTCGGTGTAGTGATAAAACAGTAGCTTTTCCGCCAGATTTGTTGAATTTGTTTAGGCACACCTTAAATTATCAAGTTATGTAATGAAGGACTTCTTTATCCCCTTTAAGTGTTATCTCAAGTTGTATAGTCATCCAAAGATGCCTTACAGTCGACAGAGATATATTGTTTCGGTGTCATTACATCTCATTTTGCTAAAGTCCTCACGACGTACAAAAATGATTGATTTATACAAAATTCAATCAGTTAGCAAATTTTTATGAACAGTTCAAGTTTATTATGTAGCCGGAGTACCTTGACTGTAATTTGTAATTGACTTTTTTGGAAATCTATGTGAACATCTTAGATGGTTATTCAGCTAAATTTCTTTATTTTGATGCATTACTCGCTCCAGAATGCATATGGTTCGTTCTTTTTTGGAGGTAACTACAGTACTATGACGTGAAGACAAATGGGTGGATAGGGCGATGATAAAACAGGATCTGATACAATTCTTTATCGGCACAAATTGTTATGCCGAAGAGTAGCAGGAAACTAATTCGAGAAGAAGAAATACAGCCGACCGAAAACAATATCAGTAACTGGCATGAAATACTATGAATGAATGATAAGACTTTAAGGACTGAGAATATAAGGTGGTTTCGCTACTTAGACTGAATTTAAATCAGCCCACCTAAAGTATTAAATAATGGATTTTGGTTGTGGCTTAAAAAGCACTAGGGGATTTTCAGTTTCACATCTGCTCGATGTCAATTTTCTTCGACTTCATTAATTTATTGTAACTATTTGAAGCGAGTTCATCCTATTGCTGTGCCAGCCTGTTGGTGCTGAAAGTAACTGACACTTATGATTATGACAAATGCATGTAGCCTGAGAACTCATTGTCAGAATGCGACAATCTTAGATTTCTGGTAACCGAAATCACATATACTCTGTTAGCTTTTTCTTATTTTCCAGGGACAAAACTATTACAAAAATATTGCACATATATGATTTCTGTCAAACATTTTCCAATATGCGTCGAATTACTAAGAACTGAACTTGTATGAGACTCCACTTTTTCACCGAGAAATGTATCTCTGCAACTGACATTTTTCAATTAATTCCATAATCTGTTCTTTTTTATTGGCTTAACTCAACATTAGTTTGAAAACTTGCATTTTGAAAATCAAAAAGCCGTTTGCTTCGGTTGTAACAGCATCTATGTATACTCCCAAAATTATTTACTTCCTGGGATCATTGCATAACCACAACGATCATAGACTGCAAATTTATTGATCAAATGCTTTCATTACGTTTACTTTGCAACTTTAATTCACCACAAATATTATCCATCGACTGTTAATCGTTTCCCTTGAATTCCTTGGTTTATATATTTGATAAATGTTAACTATTTCACCTTCAATCACAACCCAGTATCAACACAAGTCTGCCAAACCACGTCTATCTCGGATAGTCAAAATGATGAAATGTGTCAGTTTACATTTTAGTCTAACAATTGGTTGACATCTGTACTCATTGGGCAGCGTTTGTAGCAATATATTAATACATATGTTTGCAGCTACCATAGCAAAGTTAACAGCATCACTGTTGGTAGCATTTAGGCCTCTTTATTTTCTTAAATCAGACTGTTAATATCAGTGTATGTTACACCAAAGAATGTACATTTAGAAATCTTTATATAACTAACCAGTGGGATTAACCGCCAACTCCGTTATACCACAGGTTTGTTCCAATCTAAGGCATATATATGAACGATATAACGCTCCCACGAGATACGATTAACCATATAACAACTACTTCTCCACCCAATACTCAGCTGACATTAGGAGAAGAAGACAATGGGGTGAAGTTATATTTATCTTAAGCAGATAGGGTGAATATAGCTGAAAGTTCAGTCGTTTATAGACTTTTTCAGGGGCCTTGGCCAGGGAAAAAGAAATAGCATATTAAAAGTGAAAAATGAACCAATCAGCGCTTAGTATCTTAAATCGCGGTAAAAATAAATAACATTGTATGTAGCGAAAAAGGTGTAAAAATAAGGTTTGAATTTTACAATGAAAATATATACATGAGTTAGGTTTTTAAAGATCAAACATCCCTAACAAAGCTTTCTTTCAGTTTTATTTCTCATGCTCTTAAATATTTTATTTGATAAATTTAGATTCGTACAAGCGCTTAAAAAGACAGATAAAAAATTAGATGGATAATCGAAAACTAAATGATTGTTAGATAGCCTTCATCATTCACTAACAGGAAATGGATGAGGCTGAAAGATAGCAAACAGCTTAGTTGTGACCTCTCAACAGTGTTCATTTTCAACCTTGTATAAAATCGCATCTTCAATTTTCAGGTCTCATGATAAACATGATACTTTACAACCACTAAGTCATACTGATGTGATCCACATATTGTAATCAGTATTCAATATCGTCAACAGGTATTGTATACTTCACATCTGTCCATGTAAAACAAATAATGCTTATCATGTTGGGTGCATGTTTGAAATGAGGAACGATAGACTGAAATGGAAAATAAATCTCTGCTTAATGCAAAAAATGCAACCTGTAAAATGTATTTTGAATTCAAATTGTGTATTTTCATTGTACGAAGCTTTCATCACAGAATTCACTTTGATTATAATGAATTCTCTTAAAATCAAAGTCTTTTTTGAAACTATCGCTTACTGCTTAATCGTTCAGTAAAGTTAACTGGGAAGTTTTAACAACGAACTACTATTTGACTGTAAGTACAATCGATGAAATGGAAAGTGCACACTGAAAGATCACCACTAAGATGACCATCCAAAGTGGAACATTACACGTTCTAGACTAACTAAAAATAAATTATAAATTGTAACATGTAATTACAAATCATAGTAGCAGCAACATTTTAAATATAATTAGAATAATTCTCTTTCGTTAAATTTTTTACATTGGATAGGTAGACATTCAGTAGAAGTGTAGTCATAAACCAACCCCGAAAAAGCTACATGGGGATCTGAAACGCAACCATAAAGCAGATTTAATTACATTCTGCCTAAATTTTATCAACACTTAAGTTTAAGGATCCCTAACGCAAAGCCGAATTGGTGTTTTAACATGACAATATAGCCCATTTTATTAAAATATATCACAAGAATATCCTAAAAGGCAGGTACAATATTCTTAGATGTGAAAAAGAAAATGCTTTCAAAAGAATTTATTTAACTGATGGAAAACCGTCTACAACATATTCAGAACTGTTATTTAAACCGACTGGCTACTGCTGACAGTTAGAACTTAAAAAGCAAATGGTAGACGAGGAAAATAAGAAAACGAGAACCATTTAAACTCAACTTAATGACTGAATGGTAACGTCCTTGTTGCCGAGCCGTGACATCTTAAACTTGCACTGTGTTCCGCTATGAACTACTTAACTAGTAAAGACAGATATTTAGTGTTTCAAGTTTTGTGGTGTTCTTTCAGTTGGTTGCAATCCCCTGAAAAATAAAAGAGGCAGTTTTATAACTCCACTTGTCACTTTTCTACACTCCCTGTGTGTCCAACTGTTATTTCCTTATGGGGACTACTATATATGCAGAGTTTGGGGTAATAACCCTCAAATTCCAAGCTTAGTGGTCACTCAGTTGGTGGTAACATAACAGGCCTACTTACATCGTCAATGTCAACAATTATATACAAATTACAGGGTTTAAGTACACTGTAATGGTCTTGGTGATTGCCACGTCTTTCTGGATTTAAATTCCATTGGTTTCTCCTTTCTTCAACCAACCTAGTACTTACATGTTTATTTGCGTGCTTTTCCCGAAATTTCGAAGCAAAATGATTGCCTGATAAAGCTTTCAGGCATATACGACTTGTTATGAGGATTTTGTCAATCTTACTCTACACTTTAACAGGTAGATCCAGTAAATCTTCTAAAAAGCGTTCCCCTAGGCACTTATATGTAAAATTTCATCAACAAATATTGAGCAACAATCCCAAGCTGGAAATCTCATATTTAAGCTGATAATTTTATTTCTTTCATGATTAACATAATTGAACAAAAGCTTAACACCGCTGAAAATGCGTTGGCTGATATTGGTAGTATTATAGTTTTCAGTTTCACGACAGCAAACCGTTGGAAGTAAACTATTTCTTGCTTATTTTTTTCAGCCCAACGATAATAGGAACTAGTGAAAATGGGAATGATGAGCTTGAAAAAGCCTGTACAAACACCCATATAAAGTGAGTCACCTCGATTCTTGTATTAATTTTATGTTACTTGTACATATCTTTTCTTCGAAATTAGTAATTAAAATACATGCTGATATTTAGTGCATTCAGATATATAATAATAACAGTGTAATCTCAAACGAATACAACTCTAAATAACTATACTTTTTGATAACTCAAAAAGGAATTGAAGGGAAACAGTAAACTTCTTGACGGTCTAAGATAGATTTAAATTACTAGACTATTGAAGGTGAACATGGCTTAGGCTGAAAAAGAATATTCAAATCCCTGGTCTCTGGAAAAAGAGTATAAAGAACAAGAATGAAGCATAACAAAGAACAGCTCACTTCCCAAACAAGTAGCGAGTAACAACTGAATTTTTGTTTTTCATAAATTTGATTGATTAGGGAACATAATCTTACCACTAGGTTCAAAGAAACAACCTGTTAATAGACTGCGCTTCATAATTAGTGAATTTCTAAGCGAAATTAATCTTCTGTGGTTTAAACCAGTTCAAATAATCTGAAAATTATTTTTTTCAACTTCTTACCGCATAGCTTCTTTACAAATCTCCCTCATTCACATGAATCTGACCTGCCTTGAGAAATCTACGTATCAGCATGACCGAATTCCAAATAGTCGTCCAACTAATGAATAGAATGTTTTATGAGATAGTAGAAAAGACTGATATCTCAGAATGATGACGATTGTTTGATGTTCGCCAACTTTACATACATTGACATTCATTAGAAATGTATTACACTCATCAATTAACTGAAATAACCACTTAGTTACGGATATTTTTTAGACGGCATATTTTTCTCCTTACAGACTATGTTGATCCCTACAGAATAGCGTTGTGGTAAAATTACTCACATATAACTGTCCGGTTTCTATAAATCCAATCTACTATGAACTCAATCGAAAAACTTAAATTTGATTTATGCAGATAGTGAGAAAATCTGAAGCAAGTAACAATGATCATAAAAAAGAAATAACAGTACACTACTAAATAAGGAGACGAAGTTCAATTAGGTTTTGAAGAAGGTATTGTCTATCTAACCAAGATCCAAGTCTCGGGGACTTATTCTTTTCTAGTCATTACTAACTTCAAGTTTGTGCTCTGTTGAATCTTCAGAATACGATTCAAATGGTTAAAACTAGTGAAAACATTGGATGAATGAGAAAACAACATCATTCGGTTACCGTATAAAAAACCTAGGTAGATTAAGAGCAATTTAAATTCATAACTTAATGATCAGGAAAACCAAACACCTTCACCAGCACGTATCAGTCTCCAATTACATTAACCAAAGGTATTAGAAATTTATCACTCTACAATTAGTAAACATACTCCATTGTCACAAAAAAAAACAAGCAACTGAACCACAATCAGTTCCCTTTTCCGGTCGCCTGGCTATGTAAAATCACCGAATTACATAGTGTCACACCGCTACCAAAATATTACGAAGCAGTGAACCTAATACCACTTCATAAATCCATCTAAGTAACGAATACAGCAACGGCTTCTAACTACCAAACTATATCAATTCACCTACAAACCAACTCTCCTGACAACCTGAAATGCTTCTCTCATCTGGTTAAATAAACTTAACTCATTTCTATCTGATACAAATTTGTGAACTAGGATATGAATTAAACTGTGTGAGTTCACGCTACCTTCATCTACTCAACATACACGATGAAAGTTTAGCAACGAGATTATTACACCAATCCTTGCTTCGACAAAAACTTCTTGTGATACCATCCTATCTTCACAGAGACATTATACACCTTTAAAAGCAACAGCAAAAACAGTGAAGCTGACTCATTGTGTTAGATACTCGATTTTCAATCGATGAGTAATGACTTCGAAACCCGCTCTAACGTCTGCACAGCTAGTATTGCAGGTCCGTATAATGAGCTTGGTTCATTGCTTGCTGTAAGAACGTGTACATGGCTACTGGGTAGCGTTTTGACTTTTTCGAAAAGTTTCAGAATCCGCAATGTGCAAGTTAGCTACAACGATGCGTGAACTATAGCCGTATTTCATTCTTCGACTGGTGTTTTCAACGGAATCATGTTCCTCATTAATTTATTCACTACTATGAAATTTCTTGTGTGATATGCACGTTCGAACTGATATTTCTGTTTTTAGTAGAAAGGTGATTTCACAGCTGACATTTCATCCCACTTTTAGCATAATTTGTAATGTGAAGTTACCAACTGACCACCCAACTATATAAAACATCAAATCAAAACCAGACACGTTCGTTTTTCTTTCAAAGTAAGACGTCATGCATGCACAGTAGTAAAATGAAAGATGAATGATAATTGAAATGTTAAATATCAGACGCACTCCTCTTTGCCAGTAAAATACTTTTTAGACATAACTTGACCATCATATACAAAGGTACCATGAAAGAACTGCCCGATAAAAAATTAGTCACCGCAGTGAAATTATGCTTTCCATCCGATGCACTGGTGTTTTTTCCCCATGAACACTGTTTTTGAACAAGTGCTGAGAAATTAACACTTCGGCAGACCTCTAATTTCATAACACTAGTTAAGTTTATATTATCGCATTGATTTTGGAAAAGTCAGTTATCATTAGAAGCTATTACTGGGATTTTTCTATCACAATTCAACTGGATAACTCCGAGTCTAACTATAAAACTGAGTGGTCATGGATGCATCTAAAAAGCAGTTAGATCTCTATTCCAATACAGTATTCGACAGTTTTGCATGATCTCTAAACATTCTCGATTAAATCAGCTCACTTTGGTGATCTCCAAACGTATTATAGTCTTATACTACACTTAGTCACAATTAGTTGCCCTGCATTTGCTTCGAACTCCGGATCAAGCAGCTACAAAAAGCTGCTGTCAATTTATTCATGTCTGACCTTCATATTCACTTTGAAAAATATTTAGCTTTGCTGGTGCAACTAAGAATTTACTACGACATGGTCCTTAAACCATTCAGTATACTAAAATAGCTTGGTTAAACAGTATTACACAGCTGCCAAGAAAATGTATGTATTTCAGGTTGGAGGTTTGCAGGGATCAGTTGCTTTTAAGGCGGTATTTGTCGTAGACTAAAATCGGTTGGAAAACCACTGAGAACCTAGGATCACTAGGCAGCTGCTTCGTCCTAGCACCGAATCACTCAGCAGTGTTCACTAATGACCTTCAGACTCTGCTGCAAAGTTCTAATGAGAAGTCGTTACTCATGAGGCAAACTAATTCGGATGTCATAACAAATACTTAACTACGATATCGAAGCAAAGTCTCACTATATCTTAGATTAACAGAATTAGAAAAGTGTGGACCATTGGATTCTGACCCAGTGGCTTAATGACAGCGGACTCTTCACGAGACCTGAAGGTCCCGTGCTCAATCCCTGGTGAGATCAGTGTGGTGCACTGCTGTGGAGTCCTTTACTAAGATGACCTAACTGTCTAATGACCCCAGGTTTTAAAGAGTCTTTCAGCTGCTGTCAGTTCATGACAAGTATCACCTTGACGCTGAAATTTACTAACTTACCTACTAAATCACATTCATAGCATTGCATCATCATTTTGACGAACATTAAGTAAGTACATTGAAAGGTAGATTTTGTGTCATGCGCCTTTTATTCTGTGCTATTGGAAGTGGGATAGGTAATACAGAATATTGTAAAGTGGTTGTGAACTACTCTGTTACAAGCATTTAAACCATAGCATTTGCACTATGCCAACGGCATAACCCTTGTTCTTAACATTTTACAATATGTAAAACATTTTTTTCAAGCCTTCAGTAGTAATTAGCCTCCCTAGGACTTCCTTTATCTGCTGCTTCGCTTTTGTATGGGAAGAAAACTACTCACATTCACGAAACATTGAACCGACCTACATTTCGAACCAAAAGGAAACAGGTTTATGGTATGATATTGCATCTACCGAATTCAAATGAACGAATGCACATAAATCATCCATACTTCTCCGAAAGATAACACAGTAATTGGATGGAATTTCTAGGTCAGTGACCCACAGGAAACTGATTTTAGCTGAACTAAAAGCTGAATCTACCTTTACTCAGTCAATATTATTTATTTCAAACAGAAGTATATTTTTTGCTTAAAATAGACTGAAGATGGAGAATTGCACACAAACACTTTACAATACTGAGTAAGTATTTATTTAAACTAACTGTTAAAGCAAAAAGAACGTCTAGGCTGCCTCATGGTTCAACGCTTCTTGTAACAAATAACGTGGTCCAGTTAGTTAATAAGTAGATTACTAAATATTGAATGTAATATTTTTAAATGGAAAGTGCTTACAAAGTAAAGAATAGATAATTTAGCTGGATGGTAGATTCGAATAGACATATATCACTAACAGTTAACTTAAAAATGATTTGTAATTCCCCTCCAGGTATTTTTAAATATTGTATTAGTTTCTGCTGATGGCCTCTTTGATTTGGATATTTTAAGGATAACAACTGGTCAGTACATTCTTTTTCCAAAAAGTTAACCACTTAATGTTTATACTATCATTGGTATCCACTTAGAGATGCCAATTAGTAGTGCCGTCTGCACTATCCTGCATGGCAGATTACATGGTAAATTCCATTTCTCTTTTTACCTCCTTTCAAACAACAGAATTATCAACCATCTGAGCGACAAGAAGGATGCCAAAGAATACTTAGAAAGAAGTTTGTACCGTAAATTAGCTCAGTACCGATTATTTACTTCATTTTATTCACTGTGTGGATCGAATGAAGATAGAATTTCTATGAATACATTTGTGACACAAGTCGAAGATAAGAATCTCTACTACCTAATACCATGGCTCAGTGAATTTTGGAACCAGCTACATGAAATCCCATGCTCATTGACTCAGAAAAACCATCTGAACATATTCGGCTTGCGAACATTTCTTACCTGTCCGATGCATTCACAAGTATCATTAAATTGGTTTCTTGATTTATGGAATAATATGTTGGTGCCAATTCTCTTTAAAGATGCAAAACAAGCAATAACAATAGTATCATTAGAAGAGAATTTAAGCAACATGTTTAAAATGTTGAACAATTTCCTTGGATGGATAACTACAACATGGCCATGGAATCCAACTGGTGTCAATTTTCCAACATCAATAAAAGAGCCAAAAATTACTTTAACACAAAATTCACTATCTATGATTAAAAACTATCAACTTATCCTGTCAACATCATGCAATTCCGATGCTGAAATTTGTAAGCATAGAACGAGTATGGATTCTGGAATCATTCTTGATGGGATGTATCCCACAAATTCTGGTATTTCCAGTAGTTATGAGAATAACACTAGTACACTGTGTAATAATAATAATTACTATTATCCCAATTCAGTAACCGAGAGTCAGGATGTACAACAAAATGCACATAATACACATGACTGTAACCAACTAGTTACAATGCTGTATCAACTGCAACATGAAAATCAAACCACTGGTAGCTGTTCAAAGACGGTTTCATCTATAGACTGAACAGAACATGCTGAAGTTATAACTTAAAAGAAATAGATGAAAGGTTCATTTCGATAACGTCTAATGTATACAAATAATTTAGTTTTTTCTCAGCAGTTTTATATAGACACTAAATTAGAGTACATCAGTGTAATATGCTCATCATTTAACTCTGAAGCATCTCACTGTTTTTAGCTTTTTGCTTTTTCTCTGTAAGTATGCTTACACACTTCCATCTTTGTTCATTTAAAACAGAAGAATATGCTCACTAGTACGTAATAAGAATCGGAAAACTGCGTAACACGCTTAATTTTCCGGGCCGTCCTTTCGATTAATTTCTCTCCACAAAAATAAATGCTTAAGAGTAACATAAATGCCCTGGATGTTTATTTTTCAGCTGCTTTTTTTCAATCCATGCACCTGAAAAACTTGTACCTTTTTTTTCTGTTGGGTGGTTTGTGGAAAAAGTGATAGACATCATCAATGCAGAATTTCTGTATTGTGACTCAAGTTGTATATCTAACATTCACTAAATTAAAATTAAAAAGTGCGAATAATAACGGACATTACAAAAGATAATCAGAAAAAGAGAAATGGAGATAGAGGAAACAAAGAAATGCGATAATTTGCTGCTTAGTAATGCTATGATTAATGGTAACGAAGCATAAATTCACAGTTTTAGGCTGATTGAATAATTTTTAAGGTATTCATCACGTAAAAGTAGAACTTGAGCACTGTAGTAGAGTATCATTCCATGTCATATTGTTTGTTTGATATGTACTTACTAGTAAATAATACTGTATCACTGAGTGTAATATCAAGAAACTAATCTGGTATAGTGTTCATCGCAGCAGGACTTCAACCACAGAGCCAGTCAAAATGACAGAGACTAAAAAGTAGCTACTTCTTCATAATTTAAGTCCTGTAAGTTCAACTATGCCATATAAGAGTGAAATCATAGCTCTTAGGATAAAGAGTACTAAAACGCTGAGATGAGAAAGCTGTCCATTTTTCCCGACTTTATATCGTTCTGTAACTGATAGTAACCTATCTTAATAGTGTTTAGTATTGCAAAAATTTTCAAATGAAATATCCATAAACGGATTTCTTACATTTATTTATTTATTTATAAAGTAGGAAGAAATAATCATTGAGATTACACTCAACACTTGTTTGTCCCATACTATATATGGATAAATTAAAGTAAATATCAGTAAGAAAATGGGACTATGCAAAAAATAGATACAGGACATCTATCTCTGTATTAAGTGTGTTAGCTGTAATGGTAACCATGGTCTTTAATAATCAGTACTCATTTCACTGCTACCAGCACATAATAACTAAGTTTACATGAGCTTTACACCACGGAGTTTTAATTAAAAATACCGTTCTTTGTCTTACACTCAGATGGCTATTTCTTGGAAATACTGCTATTCATTCCGTTTCGTAAGGATCACTGTAAAGATGATTCGAATTCACTACTGTCATTTCTAGATTCACCACACAATTACGTTTAGCTTAATAAGAATAATAATCTATTTGCTTTATTCTGAATCATAACTTTGTTTACAGTACAGAATTCTAAGCATATAATATTGCATTAGTTTACGCCATGTACAACATTTTTCTAACATATTAACAACCGTGCTGGTTATCAGTACATAATAAAGAATAACGTAATTGTTGAAAAGCTCAATGACTTCAGGGTCATGATAACTGTTCGCAGTTGCAAAGTTGATTGATAAGTCTATTTCCCACATGATTTTCGTCACATAATACAAGTTGAGTTTGTTTAGTTTGTATGTAGTTTGCGAGCGCGTAAATTTTAATATATTTACTTTCTGAACTAAATCATTAGTAAACTTATTGCTTCCTGTATGCACAGTACATTTAAGGTGCAAGAAAAGGAATCAGTGTCTTGAACACCTCGGCTATCCAACCGTTTGTCACTAGAACTGCAACTTCTGCTTTCACATTTCAAGACACATTTTCTTTTTTTGAACTTGATCTTCAGATTCTATAGCTTCTTAACTATAAATGCAAAATTTGTTGATCTGATATATAGCGCACAATGATACAGTATTATCTACTTATACTGGGTGATATTTAATTGGTGACGTTTCAGGCATAAATTACTGCTCATAATCATATCAGTGTAATCATACTACTTTCGACCTCTAATGTTTATAGTTATGTCACCTCATATGAGTTGTTTTTATTGGTAGTAAAATCTTCCATATCTCTGGTATAGGTGTTGTGTCATTTCTATTGTGTTGGGTGTTAGCAGATTCAATGAACAAAGATTCAGTCATCAATCTCTCTCTCTACCTAATTATATTGGTTTTATCCCACTATATTGTGTGGTTGTGTGTTAATGCATGCATAGCAATAGCCGAGTAATTTTTCTAGATAACTGAACTTATTCGGGTCTGTCATTCTATATTTAGTTAAATTCCTATGTTCCTCTAATCTAAGTCACCCAGACCGGCTAGTTTAACCTGTCATTACATAGAATTCGATAGATTAGATTATTCTGCTTAATTGATTCTATCGGATCCTTAAGCCAGATGACAAAGCTTATCTCTGAGTGAGTTTTTAGGTCTAAATGCCACCCTAATTCCAGCATTATTCGGGATCCTACGTAAAGTTTCTGATGTACCTTCCTTATAGGGTAACACAATGGAGGCTGTGGACCCGTTTCTACTTGTGTTGTCGTTATTATTCGTACTCCTGTTACTGCTATTATTTCGTTTCTTGTATGTTTGTACGGGTTTATTAAAAATTTGTAGAGGATAATTATTGATATTATCCAATAGGGGTCAATAAGAATACCGGAACATAGGAATTTAACTAAATATAGAATGACAGACCCGAATAAGATCAGTTATCTAGAAAAATTACTCGGCTATTGCTATGCATGCATTAACACACAACCACACAATATAGTGGGATAAAACTAATATAATTAGGTAGAGAGAGAGATTGATGACTGAATCTTTGTTCATTGAATCTGCTAACACCCAACACATAATAGAAATGACACAACACCTATACCAGAGATATGGAAGATTTTACTACCAATAAAAACAACTCATATGAGGTGACATAACTATAAACATTAGAGGTCGAAAGTAGTATGATTACACTGATATGATTATGAGCAGTAATTTATGCCTGGAACGTCATCAAGTAAATAATACTAGATCACCGTGTGCTATGAATGGAATGAACAAATCTACTGTGTAATCTATATATTTTTATGTATAACAAACAAAGTTGAATAATTTCGTTTATCTGATAATGTTTCACTGAGAAATAGTTCATGGTTGGTTGCAACAGGATATAACTTAGATCATTCCAGCTTTTGCCTATTAATTTTATTTTTAGTACTTTGAAGTAAAGTTAAAGTATAAAGCCTATTCAATCATTATTTTGACCCAGGCGAATAACTTGAATCCATTACTGATTATCTGACCTAATGTTATTCGTTTATTCTTCACCTGCAATTCAATGATGGAAATCACACTTCACCACTAACCTTCCATAATTAAATTCGCTGCAATCATATCCTTGGTCTCTTAAGTTCTGCAAATGAAAAATGGATTTTTAGTATGACAAACGAGAAGTAGTCTATTGGTGTGTTACATAATTTATCACTTATAATGCAATAAATATCCAGCATTCATTTAGTTCTTACCCCTTCTATGGCTAATGTTAGCTTTATAGGTAGTGTAAATCCAATTAGATCCTCGAAATTGTTAGAGGAATAATACTCAGAGCTTAGTCCTTCATTCTACGGACTATTCAGAAATTCGTGTCAATAATTCCTCATTCACCGGAACACACTGCCAGAAGTTTGAGAAACTGGTGTTAACCTACGATCTATAACTTACCAGTGGATGTGTAAAAAGCAATGGTGGAATCAACTGGTAGTAACTTCAGTCACTGAACCTATCTTTCTAGAAAAAATTGGTGTTTCTTACAATATAAGTCAAAAATTATTTGTTTTCCTGATAAAATCACTATAAATATATTTTTCCTTACCGAAAGTAAACCTAACCATATTCACTTAACGCAGCACGCTGTTGCAAACCTCAGCTACAGTTAATATATGGAACCTTCTGGTTTCGAAATGAATGTACTAATCTACGCACGGCAGTCAGTGACTTAGTTTTATAGATATCATGCTGTTTTGTCCGCTGCTGACTGAATTCAGATTTCAGAGTTTAGAAGGATCAAAACCATCACATATTCTGTGTCATAAGATGTGTTCATGAAAATTTCCATATATAATGCTCACTAGATCTCTGATCACAAATTCCTGTCCATATTTTAGAGATTTCTTGTTTCTGGCTTCTGTAAATATGGTAACTTCAGAAGTACACTTTGTTTCTGTATGGTACATTGTTCTACTCATCTGTCCCCCTGCTTAATGGCTATCTTCTTAGTTGGCCAACAGTGTTAAAAAGGATAACACTATGAAACTCGTATTTTAGAAACCTGAAGCATGAAATTTCGCCGCATTGTGTAGCCCTTTTGCAGACCATATATATATATATATATATATATATATATATATATATATATATATATATATATATATATATATATATATTATTATTATTAGTCCCTTGGGTTCCTAGTGGAACATAGGGCTTCAGTAGCACGTCTCCAGTGACCTCTGTTCTCTGAGGTCTTTTGAACCTGGTTCCACGACAGCCCACAAGCTCTCATTTCCTCCTCACACGATCTCCTCTCCATGTCACCCTCACCACGGACACCCAACTCGTCGCTTCCCATGGGGATTCCACTCGAGCAACTGGCCTGATGCGTGATGTCCTCAGTCGGCCTTCTCAGTGTATGCCCAATCCATCTCCACTTACTTCTGCATATTTGTTGCGTGACAGGTTCTTGGTTGGTTCGTTCCCAGAGCTCCTTGTTGCTTATTCTTCCTGGCAATCCATCTGATCTTCAGTAATGAGCCAGCGTAAGCAGTTGTTGATGAATGTCTGTAGTTTATT